CAGTGGCATCTCTAAAAAATACATATTCTTAAGTACAACTTTCTATCTCTAATAGTTCCCCAGAGTTTCGCATTTTTGGTTTTTAGGGTTTTGTGGGCGTTAGAGTGGGCGTGGCTTGTTCGGAAAAAAACAATTCAAACTTTCTATCACTTATAGTTACCGAGATATCAGCTTTTCTAGAATATGCAAAAACTGTCTTTTGAACTTGGTGGGCGTAAAAGTGGGTGCGTACGGATAATGGTACCACCATAAGATGCGCTGGCATCCCAAGATTATACATACTGAATTTCAACTTTCTAGCTCTAGCTCCTGCGTGGCAGGATGCGGAAATAAACTTGAGCTGCGTATAGATCTTAAGAATCTTCATGCTTAATCTCAACGTCATATCTTTTATACGGACGGACGGACGGACAGACGGACAGACGGACATAGCTCAATCGACTGATTGATCTTGATCAAGAATATATATACTTTTTAGGGTCGGAAACGCTTCCTTCTATCTGTAACATACTTTTCAACGTATCCAGTATGATTTATTAATTCTGATATTTAATGAAGATTTTTTAAATAGCTCCACTTCTCCGCAACTTACTTTCCTTTGGCTTTTGGTGGTTCTGTTTGTGATAGCAAACGTAATAGAGTTTCCTATTCGGATCAATAGTTTTCAGTTGCCATTTAAAGTAATTGAAACCGAATCCCACTTTAGGTATTTTCATTGATTTCCTTTTTTACTTTGGATTTTCGGAACTACTATCTGTTCGCTAGTAGATGTAGTTCTTGCCCTTCCCACTACTTTCTAGTTTTTGCTGCGGCCCCACTGCCCATTCGGTTGCTACTGCTTCTTTTTCAGATATTTGTTTGATTATTTTCGATGCATTTCAAGGCCAACAGCGGCCACATGCCATGTACAATCTCCTCTTCAATGCATTGAAATGCAACGTTGACTAGTCAACTTTTCAATGTTCGCTGCTTGGTTCGATGTGTGTGTGGTTTTTGTTCTGTTTTTTATTTTGTTCCTAACAAGAGTTTTTGGATCTGGTTTTTTTTACTTTGACGTTTTTCTTTAATTTTCCGGCTCCAAAAAGAGAGAAAAACATCCTCTCCTACGGTCAGTTTGCGGATGAAGTTCGCTTTTGTTGAATTGGAATCGCAATATTCCTTCTAGATTGTGATTTGGGTTATAGATAAAATATAATATGTCCCCTGTGGACTTAATGGATTGATCAAATTTACAAGTACAAAAGTAGTTTATATTCACATTAAATTAGAGCACATTAATAAGAATTATACTTCATTTAGTTATAAACATATATAAGCACAGTAGTCATTAGGGGAATTTTGAAGAAACGCATTTCTGCATCAGATTGAGTCCAATTAAAATAGTTCATATTATTTTGATTATCAACTTCACTCTATTACTTTACAGGTCGAATGAGTCAAATTTACTCGAACTGAAAAGCGGAAACCAGTGCTCCGACACATCTTATTTGTTGTGCAGCTAAATTCGCTTCTCTATTTGTGTGCTTGACTTGAGGCTGAAGGTCAAACTGAAAATTGCTTAACTGAGTTCTGAGGTGCTTATAACAGCTGCAGTGGGTAGCAAGCAAAATAGGTGGGCAAGTTAGTACCAAGGAACTATTGATAAGAAAACCTTGCAAAATAGCACAAAATTAGACGAACAAAGCAAAGTTCATAAAGATAAGCTTAACTAAAGGAGATGCCAAAAAGTTCATCGAAATATTTATATAGGTTCGGATCATTGGTCGAACCTGTTTTAAGTGTGGTAAGAAATATTTCCTAAACAAGGCTAAAACTAAACCAATGCACAACGTTACAGATGATAAGGAAATATCTTACGCCCTGTTAGATGACAGCAACAAAATCTTAATCACAAATGGATTCACACAGATTCAAATATATAAATATAAAAAACAACAATTTGAATATGTTCAACAATATGTGGCAAATGTTTATACTTTTTCGCCTGCTTTGGCACAACTACAAAGCAGCAAACTTGTCAATTTTAAGCGCAAATAAATGCGGGAAAAGAAAAAAATGTGAAAAATAAACAAAACAACGAATGAAATTGGGAAAAAGATGAGATTGCGGGTGTGACTAGGAAAAAGACATAATAAATACAACGCTCAATTGTGTCAACAACGGCAAATACAATTGTTGGCCGCAAATACTATGTTGTTTTCCTCCGCTTTTCCCAACCTACCACCCACCTCTCCCTGTTTTTGCAGTCCGTCTGAACACGTTTCACAAACAAATGAATTCGTTAAAACTTATAGTGCACATGCAAATTGCACTGAAAAACGATTTAGGAGCGAGAAGACTGCTGAGGGCGAAAATGGCATGGTTAAATTTTCGGAGTTAAATGGCAACCAAATTGAAATCGGTGGAAATGCAGGTACTAATATTGGCGATAAACGGCATGAATGCCAAATCGGACAAGCATAATACACTAAAATCAGAACCGCATGAGCATGAGCGAGCGAATTGTTGTTCACGCTCCATTAAGCGGTGTCTCCACAGCGGGGTGGGGGAAAGTCGGAGGAAGATTGGCAACAAGGGGCCCGTGGCAGGAAAGAGGAAAACAACAAATCTAGACTTCTAGAGCCTTTCAACGGGAGTCCCAACTACAGATGAGGTGAGAGTTTTGGCTTTTCTGCACCGCCAATCATGAAATGCTAGGTCGGCTAAACGCTTACTGGCGGCTGAAATGAGAAATGAATGAATCGTATAACGGTCTCTCGTTTCATACAAATAAGAGTACACGCCGGCAAAATCAGGAAAATTGCATATACCTTGATTGAAGTACGCGAAGGAACTATCTCAGCATTGCACTGATTGAAAGATATTAGTTAATGAATCCAGCATTTTGGTTAACTAGATTGTCATCTATTTTTTAATGTGTTTTTTGTATCTTTGATACTCGATATATTTATATATATGATATAAGGAGCGACAACTAATAAATGTAATGCGTGACAACGACTGAATTCTGGCAAGTGTAGGAATTCCCGAACCAATTGATCTTTGGGCCCATTTTCTCCTCTGCCTAACATCCCCTGCACCTATCAGTGCCACAAATTCCGAGTGAAACACGTGATTGGGGTCAATGATTTACAACAGCGTCTGACACATCTCGCAATCATCTCGTACCAGGAGATGAGAACAAGGTTCTCTTGATACTTTGCACCTCCAAATCAATTTGGCCAATTAACTTTAGCTACCATTAATCTGTTATGGACTCATTGTTTATTGAGTTAAGACCAGTGGGCGGAGAGCGAGAGGCGAACTGGGACTTGGAAAGTAGAAGTGGAAGCAGATAGATCAGTAATCCAACAAAGAGGCCTCCGTTTTTTCCTTTTTGACCCTTTCTGGGCACTTTTGATTGTTTTGGACTTTTATCAATGTCGCCACATCTGCGCTCCCTTGGTTGTGACTCTTTTCAATTTATAGCCAAGTTTTTTGTTTTCTGCTTTTGGGCATCAATTTTACCGCCTTTTGGTTTTATTATTTATGCTGCTGCTCGTTTGCCATTTGCAATTTGGGGTTTGCTTCTGTGCGAAGGTCGTGGCGCTGGAACTTCCTCCACAAAATGCCACCTCATCACTACCCGTACACACAAATTTCCAGATGAGAGTTGCATAAATTATAATGGCTTTGTTTACCTTTCGCTTATTGCTTGCGATTTATTGATTTAGCATTGAACGAAATAATCAAATGACAGAAATCTTGTAATTGCCCAAATAGGATCAATAATACTGCAGCAAGCGGGAATGACTGACATGGAAACAGTCTGAATTAAATCAATAAGTTATCAATTTGCTTACTATTTAGTTGGTATTCCAAAAAGCTTATAATTTTCCACTTAGACAAATCCTTTAATTGCAAATTAAAGTGGAAGTGAAGTTAAATTAATCATAGTTTTTCAAATATCTCTGATATTGAAAATACCATTGTCAAATGGACACGCAAAGGGAAGTCAACAAAATGCGTATATCGGGGATGGAATGCATATATAAATAAAGGCAAAGTCCCATTGCACCGCTTTTTAAATTGTATTTCCAAAATGGTATGGAAATGGAAATATATCAATAATGCACGATGATTCTGACGAAAAAGAAATTTTCATAATAAATATTTTAAAATATGATATTTTCATTTATTTTCTTCTTGGTAAATCTGGCCTGATTTATAGGCTACCCACACATATACAAGTTTGCCAATCAAAATCTCGAAATGGTTGAAGCTCTCTGCACTTTTTCAAGAGCTTGGCAAATCCCGAAATGCACTTAACTTTTTGAATGGCAAAAATAGAGGCACCGAATTGGTGGAAAGGATTAGTGGCAAGGACTGACGCCACTAGTGCGAAATGGGTGGAATGCTAATGCGATGCACACGCCATTTGGCGCTTTGTATTTGGGCAGCGACGCTATTCTGTATTGACCTTGATGGAGGCTCCGCTAAAAGGATGCGGTTTGGGTAATGTGAACCATAGTGCAGCTATTAAAATCATAGGGGAGAGGCCGTGATGGAGTGCCAAATGTAAATACCGTTTTGATGGATTCTAAGGGGAAATAATGGCCGTTCCTCTAAAACATTTTTATCCTTTACTTTTTCAAGAATAAATTTGTTTGTGCACATATCCCGTTAAAACCAATTCGACACCTCTTTAAAATTTATTGTTAAAATGTAGTTTTTTTGTTCTTATTATAACCTATAATAATAATTTCAAATTTAACATTTGGGAAAACACTTAAACAATAGTTCTGAGATATTCATTGCAGATATTTCAAATTTATTTAGATTTCAGATTTTGAAATTTACACTTGAAAAGCAACAAATGAATGATTTGGAATATTATAATAAACACATAAGTTATGTTAGCTCGTTTCATATCTTCAACTGGGTCGTAATTCTCCTGATTCTCGTACTCTTTAATTTTACATTAGCAAGAAAACTCAAATTCTATTCCCTCCAATAACCCTTTATCCGATCATTAGGCCGCAGCCCAACCGAAAGCTATTCTTTAGGTGATTCATGCGACCGCTAATGGCCAACGAAAAGGGAAGAGGTTGGAGGCGTTTCTCGAGGACGCCGGCAATGTGCCAGTTGGAGTCTAGACTGCCGCGGAAGACCAAGTCTGCCTTGGGAAGATCCACCTGGTAGGCCACCGTGGCCGTGGACTCTTGGAGGCGCAAATTGGTCTCTACCTCGACTCCGATCTGTAGCTGATCACTGGCCTTCTGGTAGTAGCTGAGATGGAAGCCACCAGGCCCCAAAGTGCATGACCACACGGAATCCCCGATGGCATAGCGACCTACCGCTGACAACACAGCCACTTGGCGTCCGGGAACATTTGGTCCGTACTGGTAGGCCAACTCCGATCCGAGAGCCAATCTCTGGGTGACTGCCTGCAGGTACTGGCATACGACAACTCCAGAGCCCGTCAAGATGCCCGGATTGCCCAACGTCAAGGATAATGTGTAGTCTTTGCCGCGATAGTCACCCGACAATTGGGTGGCAACCAGCTTAGAGTCCTGAAACTGTGAGGCAAATTTGCACCGTAGTCGTGATGTTAGCTGATGAATGACGTTCGCATTGAGGTTACCCATCGGATCTATCTCTCCAAGGAGGACCGGAAAAGCCTCGTTTGGGCCATATTGCTTAGTCCCCACGTAAGTGGCACCGAAGCGATAGCCACTGGGTGCCGTAGAATTCATGTTGATGGTGTGGGTCACTTGGAAGTGGTTACTCAAGCCCTTGTTCAGCATGATCTTGGCGCCGTCGAAGGTGTTGGCCTGAATATCACGACAGCGACTATGCAGCTCCTCAACTGTTCCGGGATTCTCCAGCTCCAACTGTCGAGCTTCTGATTCCAACGCCTCTACCATCTGTGGCGGTATTCCTGCGGAAGGAGGTGTAGGCGCCTCTGGCAAACTCAATCCGGCAGACACATTTCCACGCCCTCGAGAGTTCTCCGCTTTTGCGGTAGATGCTAGCACGTTTCCCATTCTTAAAAAGAGCTAGCTTATATGCAATTATCAATTTATCAAACTTGATTCTACCGAAATCCTTTTCTGCTCTGGCCTTGTGCGTGTTGGGAATGCTCAAACATCAATATAACTATGAAAATAAAATGATTTACCCTTAAGTGTCAAACAGTTTTGATTGGATATCCCTAGGCGGGTCGATCTAGTCGTGTCCGATCAGATATTATTTTAAGTTATTATTGAAATGTATTTTGTCAAAAGCTATTTTCAGAGATATTTTTACTAAGATTTTAAGGCATTATCTTTTCTTTAAAAGAAATTAAAACGTTTCTATAAAAGCATTTTAGTTCATGAAAAATATCTTTGAAAAATCAATGTAGAAAACTGAAAGATAAAGGAAACCCATCAAAAGATTATTAAGAATATATTTTTTTACTAGCTTTAATTGATTACTTATTATTCATCTGCCTAATTGACCAACTTTTTCTAAGCTAATCATAACTTTTGGTAGTTAGAAAAACAGACACACACAGCAGCAAGTCACTGGAACTCCTTTCAGTTGGCTAATTAAAAAAACTTGACTTGGACAAGAGAAATCGCCTCGAAGGACACCACTGTAATCCATAAACCGTGACCATAATTCCATTTTCCGTGTGGACAATTCCATTGTGTGGACAGTGGTGTCATCAAATGCTTATCAAAGGTTGTTAATCACCATAGCACCCAAAACTTAAGCTTAAATCTGGTTAACATTTTGATTTCCTCTTAAATATCTAATTCATCGATGTCTCCTATGGCATTCAAAGAAAATCAAATAAATGTGCGATTGTTCGCAATAGTTCCTTTTTTTAATCCAGAGTTCTTTGCTTCGTTGGCCTGCAGCACTTTCAGATGCAAACCACACAAAATGGCAAATGTAAAGTCAAGTGACAGCATGTGGAAGGAGTAGTGGACAATTAGCACTACGTTGTCCTATGAGATTTCGACTGTATACCTGCACACTTGGGCAAACATTTTGCGACCCTTTGGAATTCTGTGGTCCCGAACACAAAGGCCAAAACGGAACGAAAACAAAAAAAATGCTATAGTCGGGTGCCGCTACTATTAGATACCCGTTACTGTTTTACATAATTTTAAAATATTCATTTTCCTATTATCAGAGAAAGCATGTTGAGATACTAATCGTGACGTTACTCCGCATGTGCGGCCTTATAACCTACTTTTCTTCATAAGAAGCGAAATAAGGTTCCGATTTGAAAAATCTTTGGTAAATCAATAAATATTGACAAAAATATGTTATACAAGGTCAAACGAAAACATTCACTATAATATTATGGACGCCACAGTTTTCCGCGGTTTGTGGGCGTTAGAGTGAGCGTGACTTGATGAAAACTCAGTCGAGTTGGAATGGCATCTCTAAAATACCTAACTTTCTATCTCTTATAGTTCATGAGATTTTCTCAATTTTGCTTGCCGGGTTCTGTGGGCTTTAGAGTGGAGGTGGCAACATGCTGAAATAAACTTGTGCTGGACCTCAAGAATCTTGATGCTAATCTCAAATTTGTATATTTTATAGTTCCTGAGATCTCAGCGTTCATACGGATTGACGGACATGGCTTAATCGACTTCGCTATTGATACTGATCAAGAATATTTACACTCTATAGGTTCGGAAACGCTTTCTTTTACCTGTTACATACTTTTTAAGGAATCTAATATACCCTTTTACTCTACGAGTAACGGGTATAAAGATGTCATTATGTCATGTACCTCCAAATTATCGGACACAAGTCGTAAGAAATGTAAAGACGGGAACCAACTGGCTTCACGCAGCTTTAGCCATGGGTGCGGTTTATCATTTTTGTGAACTTGAAGCAAAGCCTAAGACTATCCTGGCCCACTCGACCTCTTTCTCTATCGACACTTTCACAACACACAACACAATTCGGCTCATTTCACTAACTGAACATATTAAATGCACGCATTCTGCGCCTCAGGAAAACGCTGAGCGGAACGGAAAAGTGTCGATGGGCGGTGGTGGGCGGTTGATAATGGCACCGCTCATTAACTGCACGCCATTGGCATGGGGAGATTTTCGGCTTCTTCTTCCTGGGGTTTAAAGATTAGTTCCTTACTTAAAAGGTTTTCCACTACAGAACTCTTCATCATCAATATTTATGTTCGCTTGAATTTATTGCCTTTTGGGAAGTTTGCACATTATGTGAATGCCAGGCTTTGCAGTGGGGATATCTTTGGGGTAGGTAATAAACATGGTATTGGGAAACTCGACTTTTTTAGACGATGTCAAACTGCCCATGTGAGGCCTTAAAACCTAAATTTCTTCATGAATAGCGAAATAATGTTCCGATTTAAAAAATCTTTGGTAAATCGATAGATGTTAACAGAAATAAGTTATACAAGGTCAAGCGAAGGCATTCCTGATAATATTATAGACGCCACTTGTGACAAGTTGCAGTGGCATTCTTAAAATACGTGTTCTAAAGCCTAACTTTCTAGCTCTTATAGGTCCCGAGATTTTTACATTTTTGGTTTTCCGAGTTTTGTGGGCGTTATGGTGGGCGTGGCTTGATCGAAAAAAACACTTCGAATTTGGGGCATCATAAAAACCTATATGCTTAATCCGAACTTTCTACCATTTATAGTTACCGAGGTATAAGCTTTCCTACAAAATTGGAAAACCGTCTTTTCTTGTGGGCGTAAGAGTGGGTGGGGCCGGATAATGGTACCACTATATGATGCGCTGGCATCTAAAGATTATACATACTAAATTTCAACTTTCTACCTCTAATAGTACCTGAGATTTCGGCGTTTTTAGTTTTTTGTTCATTTTGTAGGCATTAGAGTAAGCGTGGCAGGATACTGAAATAAACTTGCGCTACGTATGGACCTCAAGAATCTTCATGTTTAATCTCAATTTTCTATCTCTTATAGTTCCTGAGATCTCAGCGTTCATACGGACTGTCGGAAAAACGGACGGACATGGCTTAATCGACTTATACGGTCGGAAACGCTTCCTTCTACCTGTTACATATTTTTCAACAAATCTAATATACCCTTTTACTCTAAAAATAAAAATAAACTAAGAAACCTTTGTTCTAAAAATATTCCGTTTTAAATGACGTTATTGTAATATAATCTCAGGGATCTTGGATAAGTACTAGAGTACAATGTCGTAGAGCCAGTACTAGTAGTATTAATTATAAACTTGATGAACCCTGTTGTTCAACGCGTGACAAACTTTTCATGCAGTAGCAAACCGAAGTCCCCGCAACTTCCAGATCATCGCCACCGAAAAGATACACATGCACAGCATACAGAATCGTTAACATAACTTTCAGCTACTTATAGCGAAATCCGCTTAAAATGAGTAAAACTGGAAAACGAAGAGCGGCGGGGATGCAGGAATACATGTATGCCTATCAAGCCCAAGTCATCTTCTTCTGACCCACTCATATACCACAGACTTAATACACTTTTGGCCCAGAATCGGGAAAGCAAAAGTCGAGCAACTTTATTTTCTCACAAACACATTAAACAAACTTCATCTGCACCCTCGCCAGCTCATACACAGGCATATGAAAAAGCTCATTGACTTGAAGATACAACACAACTTTTCTACAAGTTTCAACTAGCGGGGGAATGAAAAAGGGAGTCTGTCATGGGCGGCTCAGAGGGAGTGGGTGGAAAACTTGCCAAGAAAATATTGCCGACTACATTCGCTTTCCGTTTGGAGACGCCGCGCATCCTTGCTGCTTGCGTGTCAGAAGCCAAAAGTGTCCGGGGACCGTTACTAAAGCTAATAAACGCACACCAACTCACACAAAAAAAAAGCACTTGGAAAAATTGAAGGGCACACGAAAGAAAGCCAAGGAATCGCATAATATGCGGAGGAAGTACGAATTTAACTTCAAATATCCAAATAAAAAAAATTTTTTATCAGAAATTTAGAAAATTAAAAATATTCCAAGTCTTCTTTGAATACTAAAAATAAAACTAGCATTTAGCTCACAATATGATTTATACTTATGTATATTTTTTTGTTCTCTACAAAACTTTCTTCTTAATAAATCCGATCTTTAAGCTTGTGATATGCCCCCTAAAGACTTTTAAAAAACTCAGTACTTCTGGCATCCTAATTAGATTTCAACGTTTAAGTTTTAAATATTATTATTAAATCTATTGTTAACATAACTCATAACTCATTAAAAAATAGATAAGTGTTGTAAATGTAAGCTGTTGCTCGAAAAGCATTCTTGAATAGTAGTAGGTACACCGACTAAAGCATTCAAACTGAAAGATAAAGTAAACGTACAACCTTTTCCAAAAGGCCAGACTTAAATTAGTGCAAGATTAAAGGCATCCAGCTCCTATTTGACTTTTGTTTCCAGTGCACGAGCGTTCTGCTCTCTGGTCGCAGGACACACACTCATTGTGTCTCATTCGCGAGCGACACATTGAATGCAAATGGCGCAAATTCAAATTACAAGCCAACAATTTCCGCAAAATACGACTGGCTGTGCTGTCGATTTTGTTGCATGCTTTATCCGCTGCTAACCACCTAACCTCAAACAGACCGCCCAAACCAACCTACATAATGTTTATTGTTCTCCCTCATGAACAGTTAATTGCATGTTTTATGAGGCCGTCGTTTAGGACTTGCTTGTCCTGCCTATTTATTGTGGCCCCTGTGCTGTTTTTATTTAATTAGGCATTTTGTCGTTGCTTTTGATTCAAGAACGACATATTTTCCCAATTTAAACAATCTGTTTTATCCAGAAAAATAACAATATCTAAAAATTTTCTCATTGGAAGACACATGAATGAAAAACTTCTACAGCACTTGCAAATATTTTTATAGGAGCATTAAAAGTCAACCTGTAGTTGAAGAAAAGCTTTCTGTCTTCGGATTTCTTCTTTGGTAAATTCTCCTATGAAATTAAGCAAAAATGCAATAAAAGACTTTAAGACAGACGAGGCCATAAATGGTATTTGATTAGCAAATAAATTTCCAACAACCCTTTTCCACACTTCCTGGCTTTCCTTGTGCAAACAAAATCAATAACAACCTTTCATCGAGCCCACCAAGCTTAAATTGCAGAATATGATACCCATTGCAGTCTGAATTTACGTAAAAAATAAGGTTTATTTTAAAACTTCAGGAATTCTGCTTTCACTTGGTTATTTCTAGTAAACAACCTCCATGTTTTAATAGTTTCAAATCAAATAGTTCTTAATCTGGAAAATATATTTTTGGAATATTGCCATTTCCGATATAAGCTTTAAACATCAACTACCGCGAATCCAACAATCCATGTCCAAGGAAGGGTAGGCCTTTCAGCCAGAATTGAGCACTCTGGGGAAAAGGGAGGAAAAAGAGTGCTGGGAAATTTCTCAGTTTTTCATTTCCATACTAAAAAGCCGACCTCAAAATTTGCATGGATCCAACATGCTCAGATTGGCCTGCCCGAAGAACAGAGGAGATGAGTCTGCCTGTTGGCGTTGTTGCTTTTGCTGCTGTGTCTGTTACACAATATTACGAATAGGCGTGCTCCAAACAATGGATGTGCCCTGCCACCCAACATAAATGTAATGCATTTTGAGACACGCTCAGGAATGGGAGAAGAAGCAAGGAGCCCAGAGGACAAGCCAAGAAATCAAGCAAAAACGATCGGGGACAGAGCGTCTAGCGCTTTGACTGTGCCAATTTCTGATTGTTGAAGGGCAACGGAATTTTGTGAAGTTTTCCCCCTTTTTATACCCGTTGCACTTGCCGAGTAGTGAGTTGGCAGTCCGTTGTAAAACACAAAAAAAGTATGAAACATCTCAAAAATATATCAAAAGGACTCTGAATAACGGGTATGTCATAGTTGGGACATAAAAGATACATCGACCTTTTCGGTTTTCTATTGGTGTCTCGGGCAGGTAGAACACAGTTGTTATGAAAAATAAATTGGTTGAGCTTATTTGGTGCCAGGTTGCTCTGATGGGAACGAAATATGACAAGAACACCATAGCCAAACGTTAAGCGCTTTCAAAGGAAATGGGCAGGGGCAAAAATTGAGGAAATCGAAAGCGATACTTTTTTTGCAAGAGCTTTAAAAGATGAAGGGAAATTTTAGTACTGACAAAAAATATGTCCTTGGCTAAAAAATGATTACGTTACGAATTATTATTATTATCTCCATGAAAATTTTTTCATTGGAATGCCGTTCCATTTTTGCAATAGAAAGAGTTTTACGAAAAAATGTGGCAACGTGTATTTGCGCTTGTTTTTGGAATATTTTGGCACCCAACACACATCCTGAGGCCTTAATTTAAACAAGAGCTTTTTAAATCGATATCTGTATGCCTGGGAGAGAGTGTGAGACGGAAAATCGGAATGATAAGCCCATTGAGACCGGATGAATCCGCACGTTCTCTCACAGGGTACACACATGCTTACTCATTCACTACCCTCTGGGAAATATGTAAAATCTGCTATAGCCTACATTAAATGTGGGCCGGTTAACCGACTTTAAACTGAAGTTGGACCAAGACACTTTGTGGACACTTTTCAGCCTCAACTCTCTGCTTGGCCATTTCCATTCAATTTACTTTATTTATTCATAACAGGAAAAGTCCAGGGAAAATTCTTGCCATTTGGGAATTTTATTTAAGCTCTTAAACTCTTGACTGCTATGCAAAGCGTATTCCACGTGATAAACTAATGTATTCCATGAACTTGTGAAATCAAATGATTGGTGTAGTTGCACTAAGACGTTGTATTTTTTAGCTTTACAAAATATAAAAAAATACTGCAAGGAAACACATACTAACACATGCTATACTAAAGCCTTGAAGTGAACCTTGCCCATGAACGGAGAAAGCCTCCATTTAGGATGATTTAATACTCGTATATATGTCCCAATACTGGTATAAAGCCTATTAAATTTATTTCCCTTTGTCACTAATTAAATTTAATACCTTTTAGCTAACAAATTATGCGAAGGTGCAATTGACATTCGAGAAATCTTATTGCCTGGGACTTATAATTTGGAAAATGTGTTTTTTCCTATTGCTGGAAAACTTGTTCTTTCACAAACACACTTCTGCGCCTGTTTTCAATGCTCCTTTTTGTAGATGCTGTTTATTTCGTTTTTGTTGTTTTTTTTTTTGTTTTTGTTTAATTGACTCGAAAACCAGTTTTATTTGTTTGCAGGCAGCAAAAAAGGCAGCGCAACAGCAACAAGCATTAAAAGCAAATATAAATTGTGTGCTGCCCAACTTGGCTCTTGATTTTGGCTTTGGCGCTGGCTCTGGCTGCGGCTTTCGGCTCTCTTGTCCAGTTTCTTACCCTTGCAAAAAGTTATTACGATTTCTATGGGAAAAGTGAGGCGAAAGTCTATCTATCTGCTATCTTATAGTACCCTCGTGTTAGGTTTATTACAATCGATCAACATCCTTGTCCTGTAGTGCTCAAAAAATATACAATTCTAAGGGTACAAATTCTTCGACAAAGTTTGCCTTTTGCTTTTCCAGTTACTTTTTCTCGCACAACTAACACACAAACGAGAAACAAGCTCTTTTTTCTTATCATAATGCGATTATTTTGCGGAGCACGGCGCGTAAAAAATAATAGTATAGAAACTTTACGCCATAGCATCCGACTGTATGCGACGACGAGAGTGTCTGATTTTCAGTTCAATGTGAGCATATAAGTCTTGTGAGTCTTGTCTGCGAACTCAAAGCTAGATGAGCTTTAAACTCGTTATTGCCCCCGTCGCTAAGCAGCTTGGCGTTTTCTCTTTCCCACTCCTGCTCCCTCTGCCAGCAGATGCTGAGCGTCGATTTTTTTGGGTCTGCCCTAACTTCATTTGCCTTACTTTTTTGGTTCTTAATGTTTCTTTTAATTATAAATTGGTTCTGCCCCATTAAAGATGTTTTTGCCTAATGTCGAAGGCCAAACTGCCGTTGCAAATAGAAACAAGAGGAAACGCTATAGTCGAGTGCCGCGACTATAAGATACCTGTTACTGTTTTACACAATTTTAAAATATTAATTTTTCTAGTGGAAATACACAAAGCGCCACCTATTGTCATAGAAAGCTTATTGAGTAACTGATAGTGACGTCACTGCCCATGTGAGGCCTTATAACCTAAATGTCTTCATAAATAGCGAAATAATGTTCCGATTTAAAAAATCTTTGGTAAATCGATAGATGTTAACAGAAATAAGTTATACAAGGTAAGACGAAGGCATTCATAATAATATTATAGACTCCACAGTTTTCCGCGGCTTGTAGGCGTTAGAGTGGGCGTGGCCGGATAAAAACTCGTCACACGTCGCAGTGGCATCTCTAAAATACGTGTTCCTAAGCCTAACTTTCTAGCTCTTATAGGTCCCGCGATTTTTGCATTTTTGGTTTTCCGGGTTTTGTGGGCGTTAGGGTGGAGGAACTAGCTCGGCGCTGCAGTGGACCGGCCACGCCTACAAACCGCGGAAAACTGTGGCGACCATAATACTGTAGTCTACGTCTTCGTTTGACCTTACCCATTTCTACTAGCAAAATGAATATTTTAAAATTGTTTAAAACTGTAACGGGTATCTTATTGTGGCTGCACTCGACTATAGCGTTTCTTCTTGTATGTAATTAATTAAGGTAACATGATTTTTTCTTCGACTTTTTCTGTCCTATAATTCCTCTTTGTGTTCTTTCTATTCGATTCGCCGCATTTGTTGCACACACAAGCAGTAGGCGTGCGTCAAATGCGCTTGCCTTATCTAATTTATGCAAATTTAATTGCCGCCAGGTATTTTAATTAAATTGAAACATGCCAGGCGGTTTGTTAGCGAAGGGATTTCAAATTGGGGGCGTCGTTGATTTTGTTGGACAATTTTTTATTATGCTCAAGATACTGGGCAGATTGTGACCTTATTGAGAAATCCACAACATGCTGTTTTTTCGATTTAAGGGTTAGCGATTTAAAAGGCTTGTTTAAGCTTACAAACTGCTTTAATACAATTTGTAAAATTGGCTGGTGTATGTAGTGTGTTAAACAATCCCTCATGACTGGCACCTTTTGAGTTAATCACCTATTAAATACCACTTATGATATCAAAAAAGGAAGAGAAGCCTTTGCTGTCCACCAATTTTGGCGTGGAACGCTTTAATTTCGTTGCTTTAATTATTTTCCCGCGCCTCCATCCGCTATTGATAAATATTTCTTGCTGTTATTTATAGGATTTCCTTTTATTTTGGTTGCTTCTGTTGCTGTCTGCCCCGTTCATTTGCCGCTCGTTTCATTTCCACTTAGTTTTTTTTTTCTAGCACAGTGGTTCGTTATTTTACGGAATGTGAGAACCTTTAGACACACACAAAATTTTAAACGCTTTCAAACAATCTGTCACACTGTTCGCTCACTGCGTGCAAATGTCGCCGACATCGTTGTTGTTGTTGTTGTTGTTTCTCTTTTTTCGTTGCAAAAGCGAATCAAAATAAGAGGTGGGTTGCTGAATATCTTTAATTATTGTTGTTGTGTGCTATTTAAACTCGCGCACAGACACAAAGGCACTTGCACACATGTATATATGAATATATATATATCAACACTAGACTGCAATTTTGACACTTGCACTGGGACGAAAAGGGGAGGAAAAATCTCGTTTTCTCCAGCAATACTTACTAATTTTGAACGCGTTTAACATGCCGCAATGAAATTTTATGTTAAATTTATATTGACTCTGTGTCCGGGTTTAGTCACTCGGTTACGCACCACTAATCTGCCGTGCTCTATTGTTTTGCCGTCGGTGTTTCTCACTTTTCCACTGAGGGCAGCTGCCGCTTCACCGCGATATATATTCTACTTCGCTGGAAAGTACCCGCTCCCATAATGTCCGAATGCATTCTCGTTTTTTCAGCGAATGAAATGTTTCACTGCCAAGGCGTTGCGCAGTGGTAGCCAGGGAACGATTGGAACATCGACGGAACGGCGTACAGTGGGTCGTTTTTTCAATAGTGAGTGAAGAACATTATAACTGATGTTTACGTAAAGGATTTAAACATTAACATTAATGAGACAAAAAAATTAACAATAAATATAACAAAAATTCATAAACAGCAATATTAACGTATTGTTATATTGCTATCCAATCAATTGAAATTTTTAAAGTCGGACCCACCGTGCGGCACGATGACGGAGCGACGGGTTGACTCATTTACCAGTCGAGCTCGCCCGTCTGTCTCACTCGCTCTCTGACTATCCGACTGTCTCTCCCGCTCTCTGCGCCGAATGTATTAAACGAACAGTGAGAGAATTGCTTGTTTGTGTGTATGTTGTGTATTGCGCCATCGCCTGTGAATTTCTCTCGGAGCACATTTCGTTTGTTTACAGTTTTTCGTTTTTGTGCCGTGTTTGAAGGGTAAGATCGAATTCACCACCTTAACCAAGAAAAATTAAGTATTACTTACCAATTCAATAATTATGTACTTTACTTGGTTGTATTTATTAAAATGTAATACTCCAATTTTCTTTTAAAACACTTTAAAGTACTTACGAGGTGAAATTATATAAATAAAGGTAATAAATAGGGTAATTTTAATATTTTTGATTCCCTAACCCATCTCCTCATAATAGATGGACAGCATTAAATAAAATACTTCAAATAAATAAAATTTTAAATATTCTAGTTTTATACATTTATGATGAGAATATGTAAAATATAACATTTTTTTTAATATCTAGTGAAGGGTATAAAAATGTCGCCACATAATCTAACAATGTTGTAGCCTGAAGAGGTACATATTTATGTATGTATGTATTTTGCTTTTTTCTTTGGGTTTATGTTTTTCATTGCGTTTGATTGTTTTAAATTGAGATTTGTGTGCTAAAAGCGGCAGTGCAGCACTAGTGCCGCTTGTCATCTTGTCTTTTTTTGTTTTTGTTGCTGTTGCCTTAGTAGTGTGTGCAACACATGAAAAATTTATAATAAATGGTGGCCAACGCGGTAAATCTCGAATGTCCATGCATAAGATAATGGCTTTTCACGTTTCAAGATCCAAGAAATTTACTTGTAATTGTTTTCTGCCGTGTGACAGTTAATGGGATTATTTCGGTTTTCTATCGGTCTGAGAGGTGGAGTGCTGATGTCGGAAATCTTTCTGATTAGCTTTCTTATTCTATCAACTTTACGGCAAGCTCTCATAAATAAGGCACATACTAACCCAATTAGGGATCGACTAACAAGTTGAAATGAAAAGTTCCTGACCCTGTGAAGGATGTACTTGCTCGTAATCAGGGTCAGAAAGTATAAATGGAAATTAAATTTAGTACCGCAACCAATTGGTTTCCATTTATTTACATTCATTGGTACTAAATAAGAAAATTGTTTGATAGGTTTTTAAAAAATATGTTCATTGTATGTATGTACATAAAATAATAATAATTATAAACTGTTTTAAACTAAGAACTTAGCCAAAAAAGCCAACATATTGGCGTTATTCCGAAATATTCTTATCAAACGCCCAGATTTATGTTATTAAAAACGATTTTAGGTGTGCATTTTGTTGGTTTAAACACTTATACAATCACCTACACGAATATTGAATACTGATGATGACTTTCTTAGCTCTATATGAAGTGTTTTTGATTGAATACAAGCAATCTTCTTCACGGTTTTATTGAACAAACCTTGATTAAGAACATTATTTAATTTTTATAAAGAAAGCTACTCATACATATATAGTATATGAAAAAATGCATACAAACAATCAAATGTTATTTATACGGAAAATTTTAGACGTTGTTTAAATGTACTTTTACTAATTCAATGGTCTTCTTCTACTTTTATTTCTTCTGTCTTTCATTGTTGACCTCCCACGCTGTTCACCCAAGACTAAAACGAATCTAAATTTTGTGCAGTGTATATCTTTGTCGACCATAATGTAACAAGGGCAACATAATCGAGAACAATATCGACAATATAACCGCAGCACAAGTGAAAAGAGGAGCCAGAGCGAAAAAATTGCAAGCGAAACTATAAATAGCGGCAAATGTGATAAGCGCACAACGTCGAGCGGTCTGCGCTCATTGCCAGCCGTAGAGTAAAGGGGGTGGGGACTCATAGGCGAATGTCTGATGTGACATATGTATGTATGTATCTACAGCAGCGGTCACGAAAACAGCGACAAGTACCACGACCCCTGTACCCTGGTAGCGTGGCCATTTACCCCAACAAACAAAACGCAATTTATCGTTCTCAAAGCTATCGAACATTTATTCGTCGATTTTGTCCATGAGGGCCATTCTGAGATATGTTTGTATGTATATTAGCAATATAAAACTAAACTACTTTTGTAGTGTTAGTAGATACCACATCCATTGTAATTTAAATTACTATGAACCAACAATATATCAATCCATTCTAGATTAAAAAATATAACCAAATATTTATTAATGGGACCGAATGCTGTATCCGATTTCATCTCTAAACTCTCTCCCTCTCTCTGCTATAATTTTTCCTCATATTTCCTGGATACCTGCACCGCTCTCCATCACTCTGTCTCTTTCTGGTATTGCAGTAGCTCCAACACCTATCGTTGTTGTTGAGATTTTTTTTAAGATAATAAAAACTAACAACTTGTGTTTGTTTGTTAGCAAATGGCAACAGGTTCGTTGACCAGCCATTTAGCGTTTAGAGAGTAAATAAGAAAAGCTATAGTCGAGTGCTGCGACTATAAGATACCCGTTACTGTTTTATACAATTTTAAAATATTAATTTTGTTGGTGGAAATTCACAAAGCGCCACCCATTGTCAGAAAAGCATTTTTACTAACCTGTGGTGACGTCACTGTTCATGTGAGGTCTTATTACCTATATTTCTTCATAAGTAGCGAAATAATGTTCCGATTTGAACAATTTTCGGTAGTTCGATAGATAGTAACCAAAAAGTGTAACACAAGGTCAAACGAAGAAATTCACTATAGTATAGTGCTCAGGGGGGCTCAGGGCCTAGTCCTCAATTGTTTTTGTAAATGCTCGGAGCATAGGGACATGTTCGCCCATAAGCTTTGAGCGCTCCCGGCGATATTACACTAACAATTTCTCGAAACAGTCGCGAAACATAATATAATTGGTGAGCGTAAGAGTTGGTGTGGCCGGACAATGATAGCACCATAAGATGCTCTAGCATCTCAATATTATACATACTAAATACTTTCTAGCTATAATAGTTCTTGAGATTTCAGCGAATTTAGTTTTTCATGATTTGTGGGCGTTATAGTGGGTTGAAATGAACTGAATAAACTGCGCTGCATATGGATCTCAAGAATCTGCCTGCTAAATCTAAACTCTGTTTCGTTCCTGAGATCTCAGCGTTTATACGGACAGGCGGACATGGCTTAATCCACTTTGCTATTGATACTGATATATACACTTTATAAGGTCGGAAACGCTTTCTTCTACCTGTTACATACTTTTTAACGAATCTAATACACTATTTTACTCTACGAGTAACGGGTATAAAAATGGTAGAGCTATGTAATCGCGTGATACGACTGCGAGATACCTTCTTCACACAGCGCTCTCATAAAGCCATATGCGACATGGGTTGGTTATTTTCAGAATCAACACACAAAAATATATTTATACAGCAACACGCTTGCAATCACACATCTTTATATACATACATATATTATTTTTAAGTAACGGGCAGTTATGTTCGAAAAGGACTGCATAAAAATCAGCTTTGTTGCGCAGTTTTTTCTATTTAGGGAAATTTAAAAGATGTATTTCTCATTTATCCTTAACAAAATTAGGTGGACAACTTTTTTCCCTTCAGAAATATGAATACATTACATAAAAGCAGGGTAAATATTTTGTATTTTGTAAAAATGCCTTGGATAAGGTCATTTTTTTTATTGCAAAAACAAGCTCAAAGCTACATACATACCCAATATCACTTTACAATTATGCGTTCATAAATAAATAAATACATTTAAACAGGGACAAGTTTTTTCTAGGTTTGTTAGCACCTATGTGACTCTAGGTGTCTTACGCCCCACAGTATGTAATTAATTTCATACTCATTTGAGCCTTTTGATTAGTCGCTATCTTTCGGTGCTGCCCATCAGGGTCAGTTCATTGTGGGTATTCGAGGGAGTATTATTCCAAGAAACGGCAACAAAACGAAGCTCCACTAATGAGAGTCGGCCGAGCGCGGTGACAGATGCACTAGCGTGGATTAAAAATGTGGAATACGCAAAAAATTAGCAATTCGATTGCAGTTAGCATACTGATAGTTCGTTAAACTGTGCACTTAATTGTATTCTAATACTTTGTCTCCTTACCCTAATTATTTTTCAGAAGCATCTCTGCCTCTGCATCTACGCCTTTAATAATGGTACTAATGCTACAAAACATCTGATGAATTTTTCGAAAATAATATTGATAGTATTTTATGGGTATTTGTTGTTGTTAAAATATACAATTTCGTTGGCCAACTAAATAAACAAGGAATTTTATAATACTGACACCCCTTATGACTAAGGCAAAAGTTAAATTGAAATCTCTTTAATATTATAAATACCGTCATGGATTTTTTAAGATGTCGAGTAAATATATATGCAAGCTTATTCCAATTATATTTCTAAAATATTTTAAATTGTCTTTCATTTTTCGGCGATCCAATAGTTGACTATAATTATTAACCAGAAACCATAAAAACGAATTGACATAATGTATGATCAAGATTTGTTAAGATATTTTGTGTTCCGGCAGGCATCACATCCAAGACAGGAAAAAGCGTAATAACACAAATGGAATCAGTAACCGAATCTGTTGATTCGGCACTGAACCTGTGTTAGAATAGAAAAGATAGTCATTACGATCTCTGCTTTTACACAATTACAGTTTTGATTATTGATTTGTTTTTCTGGTCTTTTATTATCAATTTTTTTTTTATATATTTTTGATTCGTAAAACTAATGATTTTTTAAAAATGATTTTACATTCGTATATTTCGATGAGAGGTGAATGATTTTAATGTAGCTGGCACCCCTGGCTCTTACTGGTACCTCCACACACACCTCGCCCCTCAGGGGAAAACAGCTTTTCATTCAGGTTTTTCTCAGTTGCTTTACTTTGTTTTTCTCAACTTATGCGCTCATGGCGCCCATTCTTTTTGACTCATTCCGCGCACAGCTTTTGTTGCCACGGCGCGTCTTCGTAAGTTCTGCCGGGGAATGTTGATGTCATTTGAAATGAATTGAAAACTTAAAGCTAACTGAGATAGTCGCATTTTTAAATTTGTATCAGTATATCGGAACAAGCTTCTTATCACGTTTTAACACATTGTCCTTGATTAAAGTTCGAATGATTTAGTAGATAACCCGAAACTGAAATCGGGCCGTTTTTATATTAATCGGGTGTTATTAAAATTTTATACATTTTTATATAAAATTAAAAAGATCTACAAATGATTACTTTCCTACTGGAAAAACAGCCAAACTCACTGTTTTTTATTTTTATTTTTATCAAATTTCGTTTTATTTATAGCTTTTATAAAATAAAACATAGCCATTTTGATATAAAATGTCATATGACGTTCATATGATTGACGAAGTTATGAAGAGAAATAGGGAATACGTTTTGCCTGCATTAAAACTTAATAATTTAAGCTAATATTAACATTAAAAGGTTACAAACTTTTGAACATGAAATTTATTACTGAAATAATAAAAAAAATGTAACCTCCTATTTTCCGTTTACTTTTGCACAATTTTCTTTACGGTGAGCCAGCAATTTTTTCATGATAAGGGAGTTAGTCGGGATATCAGAGATATTGGCAGAAAGCGAATAAGTAACGTGGAAAAACATTAATTTATTTCGTCTCGCTCTTTTTTTTTCGTTGTTTAGTTTAACTTGATTTATGGCTACAGAATGTGTGCTATTCGCACACGAACATGCCACACAAAGAATCATAGTTAGTTAGAAACTAATCTTTCGACTGCCAGATACCCGGTACTCTTAGCACAATTACAGCAAGGTCTATGTATCATAGTTGCGTATTTTTTATTAATAATGTTCTCAGAACATCACCGAGTTTCCCGATTAAAAAACAGCGTATCTGAATATTCCCAACTGACTCACTACAAACGAATGTGACTAGACAAGACCGAATCACCTGACTTAGAGGATTATGTATTTACAGACTTTAAAAACAGGGTATAAATAAAAACACACACACACACACTGATGGAGCGACAGAATCGAACTTTATTGATAACTGCGTTAGGCCATAGGAAAAAGGGGGTGACAAGTGGGCGTGACGATGAGGAAGATGCTGACAGAATTTTTTGACTGTTTATGCTCGCACTTGTCTATAGTCAAGACACTGACGAAAGCAGAGGAAGGTAGAAAGTTAAAAAACAAATGTGGTCGAAACACAATAAACCACTAAATTTCTTTTCACTAAAATTGCATATCAAATTAGTAGTCTATAATAATAAGTATTCATATAGTTATGTAACTTTATAGGGTCGGAAACGCTTCCTGGGAGGTCTTGGGAAATGAAACTGAACAAAGAGAGGGAGACATAAGAAGTGGGCGCATATTGAATGTTTAAATTCAGCAGAGGCAATAAACAGCAAAAACTTGCAAGCGTCAAGCAACAACAAAGCGTGCTGCGTTAAACGTGGTCTCTGGAATTTTGTTTCGTTGCCAAATGGTTTCTGAGAGAAAAAGAGAGGGAAAGAGGCCACTCCAACTGTGTAAATTTTCAAGTGATATGAATTTTATTTTTAATTTTTTTTAGCTCCAAGCTTATTTTGTGCAAGAATAAAAAAAAAGTTTTAAACCGATACCGATGTTAAGAATGTCGCAAATTATTCAAGTAATAACAAAAGTTTTAATAATTAAAAAAACAGAAGAACTTTTTATTACCTCCATTTTTTTTCTTGACGACTTTTAAACGATTTGTAAAGGATTCGACCAATTTTTTGTGGTTTCAACGGAAATTTTACGCCATTCTTCTAATAAGGCCCTAATAAGGCCTAATTTGCCCTTTCCGATTAGACATGACTAAAATTTCCCACAAATATGAATTTTAACACTTTTAAGTCAGGAGACTGTACTGGTGTTTTTACCACATGGGGGCAGTTCCAGATCAATCAAAGCTTTACATTGCCAGCAGTGCGCTTGGGGCCATTATCTTGGTAGAATCGAAATCTATCCTTTATTCATAAAGTTTCTGTACTTTGTGCCAAAGATTCCGTCAATAAAAACCAAATTTCCGACGACGTAAAACCGTAAGTTTTGAGTTCCCCCAGACTCGAAAATTTATAAATATGCTTTTGTTAATATATTTATACTAGTACTAAGAAAAAAAAAGTCGTAGTTTAGAGTTATTTACCGTAAAAGTGCTTGCACGAAATTAACTTGTGCATCAGAATTGCCTTATTTTTTAGTTTTTTTTATGAAGAGTTGTTATGCTTTTTAAATTAGTAAAAACTTTTATTTATTATTATTTTAATAATATGCGGCATTCTTAACATTACTCCGTTTAATTTTTTTTTTTTATATTTATGCTAGTTTAGTAGCTGTGTCAAATTTTAACATTGACTTATTCTTGCACGTTAGCTTTGACAAGCGCAGGTGTACAAAAAAAAGTTTTTTTTGGCGTTGAGGTGCTTAGAAGGCACCAGGTTTAAGTACCATTACATACCAATTATTTCATTTTCAGATCTTATTAAAATTTCGTTTTTTTCCATGCATAGCCGTCAACACAACACCAACTCTTTCTTTCCCTTCCTCTGCAACACTCTTTTTCAGCTGCTGCTTTGCGTTTTTGTAAGACTTTGCTCTTGGTCAATCGCTATGACTATGTGTGCATTTGACGCGGTTGCGTTTCTCGCCACTATTTACCGTATCTTCTGCTCATTCCCTCACTGTGCAACCCACCACCCCTACATAACAAACTAGCAGCCACCTGCTGGCCATGCACAACAACTAAACAAAACAGTGCGCCTGCCTGTTCACCGAGGGATTAAAAAGTTAGTATAGGGCTATTAGTGAAACGATATAATTGCACTTCATTGACAAAGTAATAACACTGAAAATGTCGCCTTTCAGGACCACTTAAATATTCCGAAATATATTATATATGTATAAAAAGAAAGAATAGAATAGTGATTAGGATAGGTTTTAGAGCGACCCCATTGTGCGATGCTGCTCCAACTTCCATTACCCATTTCCCACTTATTTGCCACCAATTCTTGCCTTGTAATTATTGTCATTACGTCATAAGCAGGCAGAACCGCGACGTCGACCTGCAAGCGCAATTACGCCCACTGCCTTCCACACACCCCCTTCAGACTAGTGGCTGTCCTCAGGGGTTTTGTTTTGATTCGCCTTGGCTTTTAATTTGGCGCGTCACTGGTGCGTTTAAAAGAATTCCTTCGCTGCCCCATTTTCATAAAATGCAAGGGGTTTTTCGTACACACAATCCTGGCAAATATATGTATACATATATTGTATGTATGTATGTTCTTACATATGCATATATGTATGCATGTACATAAATGAGTGGCACAAAAAGGAATTAGAAGGATAAGGATTTAATCCGGGCATCTTTGGCGCTTTTTGCGCTTGTTTTAAATGTGAATTTAAATGTTTGCTTTACGTAATAATTTGTTATTTTATTGTTGGTACATGCCATAAATCGTAAATGGTGTGCCCATTTCGAAGAGTTTTAACAAGCAGCAAATAAAGGCCAACGAGATATATGTAGAAGAAATATGGAGAAGCCTGAAAATTAACTTTGACACCTGACGAGCACGCAATAAAGGTTATCGATGACTGGATGTGCGGGAAGGGCGAACGGCGTTGAGCAAGGCTAAAACATTTGATTGCTTAAATGACGCGTAAAATCAACAACGAAAGTGTAATAAAATTACGGAAAATAAAGAAATTGAAATGCACTTAAAAATATAAAAGAAAACATACACATAAATCACTTTTACTTTTATTAATTTATACCTTGCATATTTCCATCCCTTTTCGACTCATTGTTACTGCCCGCAAAGAAACGAAAAAAAACAATAGAAACCTTAAAAACAGCTGAGCGACTCTCACACAAACAAACACAAAGGCACACACGTGCTGTGCTTTTAGTTAAATTCATATAAAAAGTTCACGTGCTAATTCCGAAATAACTTACCGGTTTAGGTTTTATATAGCGAACCCGGCTTTATTCCCAATGCACTAATCACTCTTCATTATTTATATTTTTTGTTATTAAGCACGATTTCAATATTATCGCGAAACGCCGCATAAATGTTTCTTCTATCTTGACGCGTTAGTACTTTTTAACAGAAAAGATAAAATGCATTGATTTTTTAACAGAAATGTTAAGGTTTAATGTTTGATTGTAGAAAACGCTAAACTTTCAGATTATGATGGCTGTTTATCTTGGACTTACAAATTTCCGAAAAAAATGAATTCAATTGTTAGTATTCAACAAAACTTAAGAAATTTTACTAAGAACTATCGATTTAAAAAATAATTTTTTTTTATCGAAATACTCATGTATTGAGATATTTTCGGTCAGGTTTTGTATAGTTCATATTAGATTTCAAAAAATGTCACTGGCATGACATAAAAAAAAATTAAATTCATTGAAAATGTTTGTATCAACACAGAAATTCAAATCCAATAACAGCACAGTACTATCGATTGTCTGTCGATAGCAGTCACTGTCATATGTGCGGAAGAAGAAGATCGAAGAAAACATATAAAACTCCAATGTTTGTAAAATAATTTGATTAGCGTTGAAGGAGAATAATGGTGAACTCAGCTAAGTAGGCAGTGAGCACTCGACCACAATTCATAAAGGAAGCACGACTTATATACTCCCGGCGACCTTACCCAAGCAGCTGCCTTATGGCCAACAGGAATATGCGTAACACCACCAAAGTGGAGGCTCTGATCGAGAGCTGCCGCAGCGAGGGCAAGTGGCAGCGCGTCATCGAGTTGACGGACGAACTTAAGACCGGGTCGCCGCACAACGGTGAGTAAGCTGGTTTCAATGATGGTTCAACGTTAATGACTCTTATTCTCTCTCGAAACAGAGTGCCTGGCCAATTTTCTGGTTGGCGAAGCTCGCTTGGAGAACTATTTAGAAGACAACGCCCTCCCTGCAGCTGACTCCAACTTTGGACGCGCCAAGTCCGGCTTGACGGAGGCCAGACGCTTCCTCCACTTGGCTCTTGGCGAGAGTGGCCAAAAGGCTGGGATTGCCCTGGACGCCTACCTGCTGTTGGCTAAGTTGTGCTTCGCTTGCGGGGAGTATGAGCAAAGCCTGGATAACTTTGTCAAGGCTGAGCTTAACACGCTGGCCGAAAAGGAGCTAACCCTGTAAGTTGGAGAGAAGTCTTACTATATGGCTTAAAAATGGGATAGATTTGATATATATGAATCTATTTATTTCTAATTAATAGTCGCAGCCTGAAGATCCTGGCTGAGTCGTATGCAATAAAGGGACTATGCCTGGAGCAACAGACATCAAAGCCATCATCAAAATTCAAGAAGGCGGAGAAGGACGCTGAGATGGTATGCGACAGAACGATTTCTCTTTAAAACAAAAATAACCCATTGGCTCTACCCCTTAGATCAGCTGTTTTGAGCGCGCAACCGATCTAGGTTTGCTCTACCTCCAGGAATACGACATCGTGAGTGGGAGCAGCAATTCTTCCAACAATTCGAATGTTGGTTCCACGCTGAACGTAAACACGTCGAGTGTGCAGCCGTCGAGCAGTAGCTTTGCAATCAGCAGCACCATACCGGCGAGTGGGCCAACCAGTTTAGAAATTAACCGCAAGATGGGCGCCATTCTAGAGACGGCGCTACAACGAGCCCCCATAGTGCTTATTAAGACAGAAAAACTTCAAGAGGCGGTAGAGCGATACCGTATCATGCTGAATGCTATCGAGACGCGGGCAACTCAATCGCTGCGACTAACGCTTGCCCGTCAGTTAGCCGAGGTGCTTCTACGAGGAGTATCCGGTACAATTTATGCACCTCCCTTCACTGGAAAGTCGGGCGGTGGGACCTTGCGCGGAGGATCCTCCAAAAAGCTGTGGAAGCCTCGAAAATACACAGCCCGTCAGCAGTTTAACCCTCGAAACCAGCAAGAAGAGGTTATACTGCTGCTGCTCATCGCCGAAGCTCTGGCAGTGAGGGATACTGTACTGTCACAAAGTCCTGAGTTTAGGCAGGCTCGTCAACATGCTATGGGTAACGTAACGGCCGTTTATGATCTCCTGACTTTGGCTACTGTACGTTGGGGTCTCGTCCAGCTGCTGAACGAGTCTTTCGAAAAGGCGCTAAAGTTTAGCTTTGGTGAACAACATGTGTGGCGACAGTACGGTCTGAGTCTGATTGCAGCCGAAAAGCACTCCCACGCTTTGAGAGTCCTGCAAGAGTCAATGAAGCTCACGCCTAGCGATCCACTGCCCTGCCTGCTGGCGTCGCGACTTTGCTACGAGAGTCTGGAGACTGTGAAGCAGGGTCTAGACTATGCTCAGCAGGCGCTCAAACGGGAAGTGAAGGGTGAGTTAATCTTAGCCTTGAATCAGATCAAAGCTAATAAAATCTGGTTACAACAAAACTTGCTTATTTCAATTTATCTTGTTCCATTTTTAGGGCTGCGTCCATCGCGTAGTCAACTTTTCGTTGGAATCGGCCACCAGCAACTCGCTATTCAGGCAAATCTAAAGAGCGAGCGAGATGCCTGCCATAAGCTGGCTTTGGAGGCTCTCGAGAGGGCTGTGCAGTTGGACGGGAACGACCACCTGGCAGAGTACTACTTGTCGTTGCAGTACGCGCTTTTGGGACAGCTATCGGAGGCTTTAACTCATATCCGTTTTGCGCTGGCGCTGCGTATGGAGCATGCTCCCTGTCTGCACCTGTTCGCACTGCTGCTGACGGCTTCGCGGCGTCCTCGAGAGGCTCTAGGTGTGGTGGAGGATGCTCTACACGAGTTTCCTGACAACCTTCAGCTACTTCATGTTAAGGCACACCTTCAGCTGCACCTGGAGGACGCGGAGACAGCATTGGGCACTGTGCAGCATATGTTGGCCGTGTGGAGGGACGTCTACGAGGCCCAGCTGGCGGGAGAGGAGGAGAAACATTCGGACACCAAGAGTGGGGTTCACTTGGCACATTCCTCGCAGATGTCCGATAAGGATTCAAGTAAGTACTGGGAATGCCTCAAACAACTTATCCATATCTGTCTCTCTAATAATGTAAATGTTCTGTGTATATATACTCGTGTATGTATATCTACATCCCAAATTCTGCGGAATGTGTGTATTGAACCTAACAAATAAATCAAACTCGCATAACTAATTGTAAGTTTGCTAAGGAAGATTTCGTATTAATCAAGCATCGATTTTGCATTTATATCGAATTTGGTTATTTCCGGGACTCGCTTTCATTCTATTTTTCTGGTTTTGTAGTTCGCTTTTAGAAGAACTGGTTGTCTTTTTGTGTTTTCTTTTGTAGTATAGTTCCTTTAATATTGTATATTTGGCATGCCACTTAGCTAACCTGTGTTCAGGTAATCTAATACACTTTCCTTTTTAAGGGATTCAGCTAAATTCTTACCACAAACTAAGAAAAATTGTTACGTTTTCGAATAGTACTAAGGATGCACCACAATTTCTATTTTCATGTTATACCCATTGTTTGGATAACCATTTATTTTCTAAAAATATCTTAACAAGCTAAAGAAATATTTGGTTTGGTTTTTCTTAATCAACTTCGTCGAATATCATTGTATCTCTCGCTTTTTGAAGATTCTGTATACGCGGCTTCGTTGGCTGCAGTCTCCCGCGTGGAACAAGCTCTAAGTGAGGCGGCTAGCTCTCTCAGCTCATTTACCCAGCGACCTGGACCACGACGACCTTGGATGCTTCAAATTGAGGTGGGTACATTGGATTGAAATTCCTTTAATTATTTCTATATTAATTTTTCATATCATATCCGTTTCAGATCTGGCTTCTACTGGCCGATGTGTATCTGCGCATCGATCAGCCTAATGAGGCACTCAACTGCATACACGAAGCTTCCCAGATATATCCGCTTTCGCATCAGATCATGTTTATGGTAAGTTATTCAATTGTGGAAGGTAATAATTTTAATAATTTTGAAAGTGACTCGATTGTCTCTCAATGCGTGGCATACAATTTAAAATCTTTTCCAATACGAATCCCGCTTATACTATCTTTCATTTCAGCGCGGGCAGGTGCATGTTTATCTGGAGCAATGGTTTGATGCCAAGCAATGTTTCCTTAACGCTGTGGCTGCCAACCCAAATCATACGGAAGCGTTGCGCGCTCTGGGGGAGTCGCATTTGATACTGGGCGAGCCTAGGTTGGCCGAGAAGATGCTGAAAGACGCGGCTAAGCTGGATCCGAGCTGTCCCAAGATTTGGTAAGTTTATACAGACTTTAATTAGCACTTCAAATCCGATTTATTATGTTGTATTTATAGGTTTGCTTTGGGAAAGGTGATGGAGATCCTGGGCGATTTCCACTCCTCCGCTGATTGCTTCGCCACATCGTTACAGCTGGAGCCATCGTGTCCGGTGCTACCTTTTACTTCGATACCATTGGTTTTCGAGTAGAATCCGCATTCGTTTGCCTTTTGGTTTATTTATAGCAGATTCAACCTTTACTAACCTCAAAGTGAACAGCAATATTACTTACTATATACAGGCATACATATATGAATATATATGTACTTATACCTTTTAAAGTCCACATTATAACCAACACTTTGGTCATTATGAATTGTTATATTGCAGTATTAAGAGCGGCTTTCATGCCATTTGTGTGCGTACCCCTGTAAATTGTTAGCTAGAATTGTTCAAGTTGTTGTGTATAAAATTAATGAAAACTGTCCCGGTCATGATTTTCAGATAATGTTGTATTTCTTCCCTATCGACAAAATTTATTTGGTCGGTGAATTTATTTTATTACTACTGAAGTGTTAATTATTGCATAAATATTATATAAATATAAATAGGTATATAATTCTTCGTGAAACTATATAAAATTAATATACACAAAATTTAAAAAATTAGTAATTAATGATTGCATGAAAACAATCATGGTATTCCGATCATCTCCAGGCTGGTTTTTCTAGGAAGACTATATCATGAGAGAACTTGCCATTACTTGGCTACATTTACGTTCAGCTGTGTTCATTGAATCCTTTCTGTTTTTAACACTTTTGTGTCCTTGGATTTGGTTTTTCCGAGACCTTTCACTTTTCGCATAAGCTAATTGATGCCGATAATTTCAGCATTCTGTGCCAAAGGCCAAATACATACCTCTATAACAGCCAAGGAGTTTCTCTTCATTTGGGGTTGCTTTAGGTTGTGGCGTTGCCAAGGACAACTAGCATATGCACAATCAATGTGAAAATAAACAAGCCAATCGGAAATGTCGCTGCAGCGAAGGCACAGGAATTTGGGTTGATTACGCCAGGTAAGAAATGCGGAGCGATCCATTTACTGTGCCAGTTTAGAGCTTGACCCCGTTAAATTAGATCCACTAATCTTGATGGGAGATTAGTTCCGCTAGCATTATGACACCCAAACGGAAGCGCCGCGGACGCAGCGAGTCGCGGGCCAGGAGCAAAGTGAAAGGACAATCGGAGGCAGAACACTTGCAATTGCTCGAGGAGCTGGAGCTGGTGGACAGCTGCTGTGAGATCTGCCACTGCGACTGCTACAGCTCCCACAGCAGCGGCTCTGCTAGCGGGCGAGGAACCCAGCCACAGGAGAGCCTCAAGGAGCTGCTGCAGCTGGACAAGGACATTCAGGCCCTAGAGAAGTTACAGCGCCGCGAAAGTGCTAAGGGCAAGAGAAGTGCCAGCAGCCAGGGCCACAGAAGTGTTTCCAGGTCGCCAACGGAGGGAAAGTCTTCTCACAGCAGGCGGGGATCATCGGACTCCCAAAAAAGAAATACCGATTCCGGTAGGAGTCGACGGTCGAAAAGCGCTGGAAGCCGCAGAAGTGAGTCCCGGGAGAGGCAGCCGCAACAGAAAGTTGAACCCGTTCCTCAAGATCGTCGACGTCGCGGTGCCCAGAGGGATTGCAAAATGCTCCAAGTAAGGGTGCTAATTCTATAGTCTTTGGTTGGGAATTTGGTATTAGCTTTAACAGCTAAGTTAAAACCACACTTTCTCTGTTTTGATGTATAGTGTGCTATTCCATTTTCTGTCCAGGGCTATTATGAAGGAGTAAGATTCTAATCTGTAATTAATCCCTAATTTAAAATGAATCTGAGAATAATAATCTTTTGCTGCTTACAATTAAAATAATCTTCACCATATATACAGCAATTTCTAGGTCCCCAGAACGACGCACCCGCTTTTTCCATCGTTGGACGGGCCAAGTCAAAGTCGCAGGACAATATGGCTTTAGCGCCAAGCCTCCCGCGGGGGAGAAAGAGCTCTTTATGTGCCTCCATGGCCAACTTGTGCCTTGCGCCCACGGTGCGAGCCGCTTTCCAGCAGGTGCCTAGACACGACCAGAAGATTCTCAACCGCATGGCTGGAAAACGGAGCCAACAGGCAGCAGACAAGGAGACGGCCTGGCTAGCTCGTAAGCTCTGGGAGAATGAACGTCTGGAACGGCAGCTTCTCCGGGTGGAACAGCTGGAGGCTTACAAGCAGGCAGTTCATGACAAGCAGTTCCAGGACTATCTGGTGACCAAAGCGAGGCTGCAGGCTTTGGCTGAGCGTGATCTGACGGAACTGAAGAGATTACGTGGGGCACTCGACGCCAAGGACGCTGCGACCAAGAAGCGGCTGGAAGCCAGGCGGTTAGAACGGGACCTTAATCTCTGCCAGCGGCGGTGCGAGGAGCTACGTCGCAGTGAGGCAGTCACGGTGCAGCAGGAGGAGCAGCACCTGGACGAGACTTTGCGCAAACGTGACATCTGCATGCGGCTCACGCAACGATTGCGTCGGGCAGACGAGTTGCGTGGGCAGCTGCTGGAGGCTTACTTGAAGCGGATGCAGCACGACAACTTACTTGAGCAGGTGCATCATGAGGAGCACTGGCGGGAGCGTCAGCAGGAGGAGCGAGTGCGCAGGGATCAGCTCCGCGAGGACATCGAGCGCAAAAGTCATCAGTCCCAGCGCTTCGTTGAGTGCCGCCAACGCCGTCAAGATGATCGATTTCGTACTGCGAAGATCTCCGCCAGTCTGCGGGAGCTGGTCCGCCAATCCGTCACACCAGAAGGAGCTATTAGTGGTTCGTTGGGTCAGGATACCCCAGCCCTTAACTCATATGCTCAGCAGCAGTTGCAACTGGGACGCCTGCTCTTCGAAAAATCTTCGAGGGAATGAATGTTATGTACCTATACATATGCATTTGTACATATATACATATTGTTGTTGGTTTTATGTAAATAAACTGCATTGAAATTTGATTTCAAATGCTTGCTTACTTCGGCATTTGCTTGTGGAAACTACTTTTTAACAAGAGGAAACGCTATAGTCGAGTCCCGCGACTGTAAGATACCCGCTAAAGTTTTACACAATTTTAAAATATTCATTTTGCTAGTGGAAATTCCCCAAGCGCCACCTATTGTCGGAGAAAGCATGTTAAGTAATAATGTTGCGATTTGAAAAATCTTTTGAAAATCGATAGATATTGACAAAAATATGTTATACAAGGTCAAACGAAAACATTCACTATAACACTATAAACGCCACAGTTTTCCGCGGTTTGTGGGCCTGAGGGTGGGCGTGGACAGATGAAAACTAGGGGCAAGTTGCAGTGGCAGCTTTTAAATAGGAATTCTTAAGCACAACTTTCTAGCTCTTATAGTTCGCGAGATTTTCGCATTTTTGGTTTTTCGGGGCTTGTGGGCGTTAGAGTGGGCGTGGCTTGATCAGCATCATAAAAACCTACATGCATATTTCGAACTTTTTATCACTTATAGTTACCGAGATATCAGCTTTTCTAGAAAATGCGAAAACCGACTTTTTATCTTGGTGGGCGTATGGGTAGGTGTGGTCGGAAACGCTTCCTTCTATTTGTTACATACTTTTCAACGAATCTATTATACCCTTTTACTCTACGAGTAACGGGTATAAAAAGGTAACCTTTAAATAATGAGTTAAAATTATTTTTACAATTTTGTAATATATAATTCTGCCTATATATCTTTATTAAAAAGGTAAATTCTAATTCTAAGCTACACTGAGGCAGCCCTCAAAAATGAAACGGTTATGGGAAGGATGGAAAATTGTAACCAGTCTAGAGTCTTGTTGTGGAAATTATCCTAAATTGCACATAAATAACCATGGGCATACAGATATACATATATCCGTATGAACTCTAAGACTTCGAAATCAAGACCAAAAAAGTTATAATTGGGAATTTATTTCAATAGTTAGTAAAGCCCATCTAGCGCCCAAAATCTCTATTTTAATTTGCACGTATGTTTATATCACCAGAGTACATTACGATTACGAGTACATTTTGCGTTTAAATTTTCTATTAACATTATCATACTAAAGGGTATCTTATAGTAAAACATTTTCATGTATCACTTGAATTATTGTGCTTGGAAGTCGTGTCAGTCATTCATCGACCCCAACATATTATTGGATTGCAAAGCAATGATTTGAAGTACAAAGATCTGGCAAACAATAAGCGAACCGTTCATTGATCGCCTGAGCCCAACGAAAGGCGATAACAAAGTGCTGAGGAAGTCGTAGTACAATAAATCTTGGCAGTGTACCCCACCCTGAATCTACAGGAGCTACAAAGCACGTAGGTGAAAAGAACCTCAATGAAGCCCTAAGTCAAAAGCCTTGGTTGGGTCAGCGTCCGAAGCACAGACTCCCCGCTCCACACCGATGACGTTCCGGATGTGCAAATACTCAAAGTGAGTAACCTGAGCTGGTTATCAGACCGCACCAAGTCTGATTCATCGCCGACCTAGGTCAGACGCCACTTCCTCAAATCAAAGTTAATTAGATTAACACTTTAACTGCTCTCTCGCTTTCAGCAGCTCAAGTGCATAATTGTTGTGGTGGCTTTGTAATTGAAACAAATTTTGTGTTCAAGTAAGGTTTAAGTGGTAATGGTGATTTTCGTTTAACGGTCGTTCGGTAGAGCGCCACCGCTGGAAGACATGAACTATGATGCTCATTCGGAATTGGCTCAAATGACTGGCGCTGATAATACTTTTAGCTAGTATTATCTTGATGTTTGCTCAGGCATAGGAACTATTGCTTTCCCTATAGATGGTGGTGTTACGAGTTTATTACTCATATGTATATAAATACACTTAGAAATAGTAGTTAAGAGTTTTATTTGAAGTGAAACGTTATTGCTTTGGAAGAGTCTTATATCGGTTACCAATAACTACTGAAAAATAATAATTTCTAACTAATCAGATTCATTGGTAACTAATAGCTGCGGTACTCGAGTTGTTTTTATAGGCAGCGGCAGTTTTCGTAAAAAGCTTTGGGAATTACTATCACGGATTGTTTCTCCAAACCCCTGAATTTAAATATTTTATTTCAATATTAATTTAGTTTTCAAGGATTTCCAATTCTGCATTCAACTCGGTGCTATTCGTCACTAAGTTCACGACTGGGCTCAGCTATAATATATTGGAAAATTTTACTTGCGCTTTTTCTTACAATCTTGCTGTGGATCGACCCTTTGCTGGCCTCTCTGTCACCGCTTCCTCTTGCTAATTTACGATTTGTGTACACATTTTATTGTTGTACTCAATAGGTAGTAGACACACATATTAAAACACGCGTGCAAATAGAACTAGACTTTTAGTGATAAGCCCTGAATTGGGTTTCATAAGACCATGAAATGAATTTAAAACGTGGACATCGGTCCTTAATTAAATATATATATGTATAAATTAAATTATGATTAAACTTTTTAGGTGCGTATCATTGTTAAGGTAAGAAAAGTGCAAAAGTAATGCTTTTAAATTGCTTTACGTATATACAAACATATGTACATATGTTGTTCATCGCTTGTGTTAAGCTTTATTATACCCGTTACTCGTAGAGTAAAAGGGTATATTAGATTCGTTGAAAAGTATGTAAGAGCTAGAAGGAAGCGTTTCCGACCATATAAAGTATATATTATATATTTTTGATCAGTATAAATAGCGAAATCGATTGAGCCTTGTTCGTCTGTCCGACCTTCCGTTCGTCTGTCCGTATGAACGCTGAGATCTCAGAAACTCTAAGAGATACAGAGTTGAGATTAAGCAGGGAGATTCTTAGATTCTTGAGGTCCCTACGCAGCGCAAGCTTAGCATCAGCATCCTGTCACGCCACAAATCACGAAAACTAAATTCGCTGAAATCTTAGGAACTATTATAGCTAGATGTTGGAATTAAGTATGCATAATCTGGAGATGCCAGCAAATCTTATGGTTGTATCATAATACCAAGCTTGAAAGACGGTTTTAGAAATGTGGAATTAGCCATGCAGTTTTTATGATGCCCCCAATGCAAATTGTTTGTTTTTTCATCTAGCCACGCCCACTCTAACGCCCAAAAAAGCAGGAAACCAAAAATGCAAAAATCTCGGGAACTATAAGAGCTAGAAAATTAGGCTTAGGAATACGTATTTTAGAGATGCTACTGCAGCTCGACGCGAGTTTTCATCCAGCCACGCCCACTCTAACGCCCACAAACCGCGGAAAACTGTGGCGTCCATAATATTATAATGAGTGTCTTCGGTTGAGTGTCTATCGATTTACCAAAGATTTTTAAATCGGCACATAAATTTGCTATTTATGACGAAATTTAGGTTTTAAGGCCTCACATGGACAGTGAGTCAGTTACTCAACATGTTTTTTTTTGACAAAAGGTGGCACTTGTCCATTTCCACTAGCAAAATGAAGATTTTAAAATTGCTTAAAACAGTAAAGGGTATCTTATGGTCGAGGTACTCGACTACGGCGTTTTTTTGTTTTTATTTTGATTCCACATTTCTGCACGATTTCTATTTCAAATGATTTGTTTCATTTTATTTTTTTCACCTTTGGTTTTGAAATTTTTATTAGTTGGGTGTCTTGCCACTTTCACCTCGCAGCTGCGTTTGGCAATCAAACGTTTTCTTGCGACATTGAAACGGGTGATAAGACGCCTGGGCTTTAGAAATGTTTGCCAATTTTGCGCGATTCTCGAGGTGAAAGAAGCTTTTTCGAAATTTACATAAAAATCGTAAACAATAATCTAAAATGTGTAAATTTCTCATCTCATTTAATCTTATAAGTGAAATCGACTTTAAATTCTTTAAATGTAAATATTTTATAATCAAAGTTATTTAAATAGTTGTCTATTATCTGGTCCATAAGCAAGGAAGAAAACTGATGAAATAGATACAACAATAACATTTTTAATGTTTGACCAAATCATGCCTTTCGGGTTTATATCATATAGACTACTGATCCTGATAATGTATATATCTACCGTATTTTAAATAATAATGTATAAGAAATAGTAAATTGTTTTTTTATTAGAAGAATGACATATTTATAACATTATTTAATTAACGTGTAATATTAAATAGATTTGTTCATACTTTCTGACATATTGAATCTTTTGCCTTTCCAACGCCCATAATACTTGATGCAGCCTCTCCATAGGATGCGGTAGCACGTTTTGCCCTCAACTCTCTATGGCTCCCGTCTCCAGCTGGGCCTCTATGATCTCTGCATGCTGGCGCACCATGTGGTTGTTCAGATTGCCCACGCTCTGGTAGCACTTGTCGCAGTAATCGCACGCGAACGGCTTTTCGCCGGTGTGTACCAGCAGGTGGGAGTTGAGGTGACCCCGGGTGAAAAAGGCCTTCGAGCAGCGGTCGCACTTGAAGGGCCGCTCCATGTTGGGGTTGTGCGAGCGCATGTGGGTTCGCAGATCAGACTTGGTGGGCCAGTTTTTTGAGCAGCGCTGGCACTCGAAGATGCGCGGCTTAGACTCCCCGGTGTGGGTGCGCAGGTGGGACAGAAGCTGGGTGCGGAGGATGAAGCGCCGATCGCAGTGCTGGCATGCGAAAGGACGCTCCGTGGAATGTACCGACTTGACGTGGTAGCGAAGGCTGTGCCGCGAGGCGAAGCTTTTGCCGCACTCCTCGCACTGGTACCGCATTTCGCCTTTTCCGTGCACTGCGATCATGTGCAGCTTTAGCTGGAAGTTGCGGGTGAACTTTTTCTCGCACTCGGGGCATGGGTGCAACGATCTTGGGGCATCACGGTCCGCCTTTGGTTTCTGATTTTCCGGGCGTGTCTTGCTTCTCCGCTTTTTGGTCTTCCCTGTGGTCTTCGCGGCATATTCCTCGGGATTCTCCGGAGGTGTAGAAGGTTCGTCTCCAAAGGACTCGGGAGTCTCCGGCTGATGGCGCGGAGTGTTGAGGCTGCCAGAATCCACTGACGATTCCCAGTACGTGGTAGTATCATATTCACTTGGCGAGCTCTCCTGAAAGTCCAAGGTTTCTGTGGTCAAAGTAAAAAATTAATTTATTAGTAATATTTGTATCTTAGTATTAGTATTCTCTGCTCTTGGTATAACCAATTTTGGAAAAACAAGAGGAAACGCTATAGTCGAGCCCGCTCCTATAAGATACCCGTTACTGTTTTACACAATTTTCAAATATTCATTTTGCTAGTGGAAATTCCCCAAGCGCCACATATTGTCGGAGAAAGCATGTTGAGTAACTGATAGTGACGTCACTGCCCATATTTATAACCTAAATTTCTTCATAAATAGCAAAATCATGTTCCGATTTAAAAGTTCTTTGATAAATCGATAGAGATTCACAAAAATAAGTTATATAAGGTTAAACGAAGGCATTCGTAATAATATTAAAAACGCCACAGTTTTCCGCGATTTATGGGCGTTAGAGTGGCATCTCTAAAAAATACATATTCTTAGGTACAACTTTCTATCTCTAATAGTTCCCCAGAGTTTCGCATTTTTGGTTTTTAGGGTTTTGTGGGCGTTAGAGTGGGCGTGGCTTCATCGGAAAAAAACAAATCGCAATGGGAGCATCATAAAAACCTACATGCTTAATCCGAACTTTCTATCACTTATAGTTACCGAGATATCAGCTTTTGTAGAATATGCGAAAACTGTCTTTTGAACTTTGTGGGCGTAAAAGTGGGTGTGGACGGATAATGGTACCACCATAAGATGCGCTGGCATCCCAAGATTATACATACTGAATTTCAACTTTCTAGCTATAGGTCCTGCGTGGCAGGATGCGAAAATAAACGTGTGCTGCGAATGGACCTCAAGAATCTTCATGCTTAATCTCAACTTCCTATCTTTTATAGTTCATACGGACAGTCGGACATGGCTCAATCGACTTCGCTATTGATCCTGATCAAGAATATATATACTTTATAGGGTCGGAAACGCTTCCCTCTACCTGTTACATACTTTTCAAAGAATATAACATTCCCTTTTACTCTACGAGTGAGGGATATAATAATTCATACTGGCTTTGTTTAATAACATCCAAAATAATTTGAATATATTTTAGAAGTTGTAAGAAAGGGGCCAAAAAATCTAACTTATGTGCGAATTTTTTCAGGCAGACTAATGATTACGTATTATAATAATCGTTGATCTCGACCCAACTTTTATTTAAATTGAACTCTGTATGTATAATATTGATAACAATTAATGATATTATCACAAAATAATAATATTCTCTAACTAAACTTTGTTATACAGTCTAAGCCAATGATCTCAAGGATATTGCTTAATGGAAGATACTCGTAACTTACCGAAGTCAACAGCCTCCATCAGTGGGGCCACATAGGCTACCGGCTTGCTGGATTGTTGGGGTACAAACGCTGGGCCATTCAAGCTGCCCACCTCACGCTCCAGGCACTCGAGCACATCGTCGAGGGCTAAGGCGTCGCCCACAGCCACCGTGTGCTTCCACTGTTCGTGCCGAGAGCGGAGCACCTGCTCAGACTGTTCGCACCGCCGCTGGAAGTCGCGGGCGTCGTGCAGGCGGCGCAGGCAGAGATCGCAGATCACGTCGGTTAGATTATCGCCGGGATCCAGGAGCAAGGTGGGAGCCAGGGCCTTCAGCTCCACGGCTAGGTGGCTGGAGGCGTCATGGAGGCTATGATAGAGGGGCGGCTGCTCCAACAGACAGCAGCGGCAGACGAGCGGGTGGTGGAGTAGCAGCGAAAACATAATACTTTGATGCCGAAATCTCGCCAACGATCACTAACCGGTGTCAGTTTCCTTTTCAAATTACGGTCACGGAATTCACTATCACTTCAAATTATCATGTCCTGATCTATTAATTTCCATTGGCTTTTATCTGAGTCTTAGGTTTTCATCTTAGTATTTGTATGAAATCGGTTTAACAGCAGGCTTAATACTTATAGCGTCTGCTCAGATCGCCGGTCGCTGGGCATCTGAGGGTGCGGTCCGCATCCATTCCGCAGCTCAGTGTTGCCAGCGATGGCTATCAGGAAAGGCTACCGGGGCGCACAGATAGCCCTCGGCTGGGCGATAAGTCAGGAGCGGTGGCGATGGCGTCGTTTTGGCTGGGGGGTGGGGGCGCATTGAGACAACAGAAGAAGCATCCGAAGAGGGGGTGGGAGGGTTCACGGGTGGGGTAGGGCTACTATCGACGGGCAACGTCAACGTTTGCTAATTTTCAGTTCGTGCCTGCTAATTGATTACCCCGGTGGACATCCGCCGACTGTCCCTGAACCGCGATAAGGCGTTATTGTGTCGTTGTTATTTGGGTGGTCCAGTTCCCCGATACCCTCACCACCCTCTCCCCTCCTTTCACCGCCGTGCCCTCATCGGCGAGAGTCGAATAGACCGAAATAGATGTGTGCCGGATCTTATCAACGACCATAATGATCTTCGATCCTCAGAGGGTTTCCCAGTCTCACAGTTGTTGTATTCACCGCAAACTTTATGAAGCCACAACGGCTCAAGGAGTGCCCCAAATGACTTGCTGCTCAGGAAATCCCTTATCAAGGTCACTAACAATCAGATGATATCGAAACTTCAGTCAAAATTTCATCAGGTCATAGGGTTTTTGGAATCGGCCACAAAGAACACGGTGCGACGGGGAAAGCCTCTACGAAAATCATTTGTTTTCGGCATGAGCTCATTATCTCTACTAGGAGTGATATTCTGGAATCCAAAGTTCAGATGCCGTAATCAATTTTTTGATCGTAAAGAAACTGCCCTTTATTCGTATATACATACATATAAATTTTCTCTATAACAATGTAATGAATATTAAAAGGGGTTAAAATTACATTACATACGAAGCCGGGAGTTCCCCGTATAAGTAGTTCTTTATTAATCAACAGTAAGCCCTGTTGCTCGCTGATATTACTGATCAAGCATGCTGGACAGCTTCTCACTGATCTGCAGCTGGGTCTTCATCATCATGGAGAGCGTAATTGCCATGAGCATATCTCGCAAGTTAGCATTGAACATCAGGCAAAAGTTCTCGGAATCTACGAGCGGCACCGCGGTGAGGGCATCGTGAAGGGACCGACCGACCACGTTGTCTGGTTTTCTCTTCCTCGCTAAGACATCGTTGATGTAGCGCAGCACCAAGTCTAGACGCTGTTGCATGTCCCTAGTGGCATCCACAACTTGAACCAGCTCTGGCAGGATGCGCCCCATTTGCTTGGCAATCGGCTGAACTGATTGCTTTTCCATCAAACGCAGTGCCACCATTTCGGAGTTTCCACTGGCTATCTCCAGCGGCAACATCGAGAACATAAGGCCTTTGGTGCCGCCAGGTACCCCGATCTCGACGGCGCAGTGCAATCGAGTCAAAAGTCGATGGTTCTTTAGAGATGCATCCACCAGCAAGTGCAATGGTTGTCCCTCGCTGCATTCCCTGGAATAATAGTCGTGCAGCAGGGTCGCGGAGCGGGACACCGATTTCCCAGTGGAAAACCATCCCACCACCCGCTCGTGCGGATAGGTCTGAATATTTAGCTCCAAGACATCGGCAGCGTATGAAAGATCCAGGTCGATGCGGCGAATGTCTGGATATTCCTTGTGGAGCACAGTAAAGCAATTTGTGATCTCAATGTGCCCATCTTTGCCGTAGTTGCGGCCCAGCAAAGTTCCCATTACCTGATGTGGCGCTTTCAATAAATTACTGGAGAATAAAATTATATTATATAGGTACCTGATTGGCATCCTTTGGTCGGCGTTCGTAGGCGTCAATAATTTGGAAAAGCACCACAGGCTGTAGCAACACCTTCGACCGCAGACTAAAATTGCTAGACATCGTGAGTTTTCAAAAAATAGTTGTTAAAACTAAGTTGAAATTTTTGCAGCTTTAACTTGGCTGCGCTTGCGCCTAGGCGGACTTCGAACCAGTGTTGGACAATTATGTTCTATTTTTGAGGAACGGAAGATGGCAAAGTTTTGGCATTACTTTCCAAGTAGAAACAAATAGGAATGGAATAGAAAACCGGTTCAGAAATAATACTAGAACTGTATTGTAAAATACAAATTGGACAGGTTCTATCTTTTTGAAACATTCGTCCGATCAACTCCCTAGATATTTGGAACCAAAAATATATTAGGTTTAACTTTTTGTATTATTTTATTTATTCTGCATAGAACTGTGGTGTAAATGTAACTAAACAAAATTAAATAAATTATTATCCCCAAAATTACCGCGCATCTATTCCAAGCTATAGTTTTACTCGAGCATTGACAGTATGTTATGTTTATCGTTGTAGATGCACTTTGATCAGCATTCCATTATGGGTAAAATTTGTATATAAAAAACTTACGATTTATCCCCAACCGGATTAAAATATTCTAAAATTATGCGGGTGTTAGACCAAAAGATCCAATGCGTAGAACTTGTATATCTTGGGTATTTAAAAGTTTTTTACTTTATAATTTTTGTTTACATTACTATCCAATAATTTACTATGTATGTATATAAAGAACAATTTCTTCAAACGACGGATCCTACTCAAATGCAATTAAGAGTGTAGAGAAGAACGGCTTGCTAGTGTTATCTAATTGATGAAAGTTGTAGGGATGAGTTCAGTTTAAAGAATTCAAAAAATTTAATTACACATTCCATTTGCTCATCTATTTTAGTGTGCTTTTAATGGAAGTAAAACGTAAGCACAAATTTATCCTCAAATAATGCTTATATCTGTGAACTTGAACCTCAATCATGCCCCAAATTGTATCCGAACGAAACAAGTTTGACAATAAAGAAATCTGTGTGCAGTAGTCGATTTTTTATACGCTCTCAGAATAACACAATTATTTATTTTTACAATAAACTGAAAGTTATTAAATGAGATAAATTTTACTATTTAAAAAAAAATTATTTTCAATTGTCATTTTTTGTTTTGCAATTTCATCGCCTAATACATTATTAGGTACATTATTGTACATTAAAAGTTTAAATTTAAAAGACTGAAGTACTATCTATTATTTGTAAAATATCAAATAGGCCTCCAAATTTGATGGCTTCACCTTTATATATTACATTTTAAACGGAAAGACATTTTAATTTGTATATTTTAATGTCATAAATGTCATAACTTGAAAAGCCCTCAATATTTAAACAATAAATTAGAATTGGGGTTGTTAGTTGGTTTTCAGCTTATTGTAATTTAGTTATAATATTTACAACATTTCATTAGCTGTATACATTTTGTAAAACTTTTGTTTGTAAAGTAAACTTTATGCCTGTCATACGAACGCAAGCAATTCTGTCACGTCCGACATGTCACGTAGCGACACACCATCTTATTCATAAAGTTATTCATCCAGATTGTTTTTCATAGTCTTTAACTGATAACTAAAATTAAACTAAGTTATTTAATTTCTTTAGATAAAATCGTTAAAGTTGTATTTTATTTTAAATATTTAAATTATGATTTTAAATTGAATATTAAATTAACACGCCGGAAACATATTTATATTTAATAAAAAATTAAGCGCATCTCATGTATAAAGTATGATGGCCCCAAAATAAAAATCGAACTACCTTTTCTATTGCATAATATCCCTGTCATCCTATCATGGATAAAGCCGTCAGATAAACCGCCTGATTCAAAAGCAAAGTTTCGCCGGCATGGAAGGTACAAACGGAGTCCGGGTTAATACTTCAATCGCAAAAATCTTATACGTTTTGCTGGCTGGGACTTTGTGTTTGGCATTCCTGGGGATCCACGTGGCGGGCAATTGGCTTCAGGACTTTGTGATTAGTTTACACATGAACTACCTGGAGCAGCGGGCACGTTCGCACATTCCGGATTCTTTGGAGAGGGGGATCAATATAATAGTGGGAGTCTACATGGCCATCCTGTATGTTCTTTTCCGGGTGAGGGAGCAAATGCGGCTGCAGAACCTGGAAGAAATCCGCCGACAGCAGCAGCTTGAGGATCTCTTTCGAGCCGAGTCGGAGTTCATAGGACACTTGCGATCCCAAGACATCAAACTGGAGGATCTTACTTTGGAATCGAGCAACGCATAGCCGTCTTCACTAGCACATTCAGGAGCCAATCAAATACATATCTCGTTAATGCCGCCGCTTCGGACAATGTTAATGCTGGATTCACAGTATGAATGTATATATATATATAGATCGCACGGCTTGATTGTCCAGAATTGAATTCAACATTTGCCCGCCGAGCCGTGCGCTACACCTACACTGTTCAATTACCCGACCGATCCAATAAAATCCTCCTCGGCCGAGTTGAACGTGCCCGACTGACATTACTACACACCACTTATTGCACATGTGTGTGTACTTGCGTACTACGAACTGTCGGATTGTCCATTGTTTGGTTCTGCGCATGAGTATATTTTTATCGCGCACTGTGCCCCTTCCTTGGCCACCACACGGATTGTGTGCACTTTTTTCAGTTTGAAATAAATTGTAAATGGTTTTTATTAAAATTTCCGCTTAAATTTCTCAGCGGTGATATCTGGGTTCCTGCCCCCTGGGCCCCCTTACGCTCTGTTTGCATCTTTCTTTCTTTCTAAGCTTTCTTTTTATGATTTAGAAATTCCTTGTGGAAAAATTATTTTATCGCTTTTATTTAAATTAGTTCTATGGCGCATAGTTTGGCACAGCTTATTAATAATTTCAAATCTTAATCTGTGAAGAAAATATATTCTGATTTGTTCTGTATGAGTAAAATGTAATCATAAAGCCGTCTGGTGAGATCGGAGGAAAGTCAGCTTCATAATGGTGGGATTTTGAAAAAAAAATTGAACAAGTCTCCCTTTCGATATTGCCAGCTAGGACTCAAAGATACTGAAATACTATATTATCGCTACTCTGCCGCAGTTTATGGGGATTTATATGGGAAATCTTTTCAATTTCCATTATGATTGCATACAAAATCCAACTTTTAGCCCCTTTCTTTGGGCAATTTACATTTTGAAATGAAAATCTGAATAAATACATAAATACACACATATGTGTGTATATGGACTAGTTAAAATACCTGTATATACCTGTTTTAGTTAAGAAAATCCATCACTACATATCACTTATTACACATTACAACTTAAGCAGAAGGCCGTTGTAGCACAAAGCATGAATTACGCGCACTTTATAATTGCTGGTAATTTCTTTAAAATAATAATAAAAACAATAATAATAATAATAATAATAATAATTATAATAATAAAAACAATAATGTTTGTGACTCTTCAATGAAAACTTTTTTTTTAAGGATTTGCTATTTCTTTACTATATTTTATTCTTTAACATCCATAAAGTTGTATATTGTTTTCTTGTACCTGTACATTAATGTTTTTTTCGCGATGAAATTTTGAATTTAAAGTGTTCAATGACTAGGGATACGCTTCGAATAAAGATCATCCATTTTATGATTCCATGTAAATTCACCTACTTCCATTCTCTTTAATCCCACCCAAATCCCTGCAATAAACAGATTCCAATGAAACCAATTTCGGCTTTAGGGCGGCATGGGCCGAAATTCACCTGAACGACCGGTGGTAATTTCCATAAAATTTTTGCGCAGGCGCAGAAGAAAGTGGCGATTAATGAGCGAAACTGCGACCTTCAGACTGCAGCAGAAACGAGAGCGCACCTGTAGATTAAAACAGGTCTGCAAAGGAAAGGAGACGCACAGATTTTCCCAAAAATCGTGCGAACCGGTGCACTCACCTGGGAGAGTGGAAAAGAGAGACCAATCGGAGAGAGTTCGAGATCGGCAGGTGAGAGCTGAGCCTAAGCTGAGCGTCGGGAGAGCGTTGAGTCAGACGTAAGACCTCATTCGTTTCCGTTACGTGATGCGAGGCGGTCGTGTGCGCGGAACTTTCGTCTTTGCTTTCAAGGGGCTGCTATAGCCAGCGAAAACCCCAATCAAAGTTAATTTACTAGTGGACAAAAGGCGTCGGAAATAACGCCCAAACTGATCCACAGTCGCCATAACGGTAACTAAATCTTAAACCGCGCAGCCCCTACGTAAGCGACGCGCAAGACGCAAGGCGCGATCCGTAAGGCGAGCTCTGGGGTTCGAGTGGATCTCTTAGTCCGTGGATCGGTATCGAAGGGAGCTGTTGTCGTGCCGCTCGGTCTCGGTTTCTTTTATTTTCGGTCCGTGGCCGCCAGGTAAAATAATTCAAAATAAGATGGCCGAATGCAGTGCAAAGAGTGTGCAATTTTCGAAAATTCATTAAGAAATTCTGTGAAAGGCGAATCACGCAGTGCTGAGTGCAACTGAAAGGCTCGCGTGCTATTTGTTGGTCCAACGAAACAGCGGGAACAGTACTATTACACCAAGTGAACTCGCAGGGAAAACATAATCTTGGATACGAAGCGAAGCACAACCGCAAAACTCCTAAGCAAGCTACAAGGTAAGTGCTGTGCACTAAGATGGCTACGTCTGGAATTTTCCTGACAGTTGCCGTACAGATGATAGATGCGCAGATTTATTTCTCGAGGGCTGGTGCGCGGGGGTTGAAATCTGAAATACTGTAATAAGTGGTCAAATGCCGGGACAATTGCGTTTCGAAATGCTCTCTGGAAAGTGCGTAGATTGAATAAATGCACTGGAAAATAAATCTTACACAGAAAAGACTTAACGTCCTTTTAAAACAAACAGTTAATTACTCAGCAAAATCGAAAAAGAGAATATCCAAAAGTCGGGGCATTCGACTAAAGGTAACTTTCCGGTGCGGTTTTCTGGTTACGGGTTTGCTTTGATTTACAGTGACTATTTTAAAACAATTATAAGAATAAAGAGTGCTTCTCCGAAAATTATGAGCTACAATAGAAGTAAAGTGAGATTAGTAATTCATCGCTTTCTTGATGAAAATCAGTTCATTGACGGCATTTTTTACAATTTCATGGACAATTTCATCCAAGGAATACAAACCAAGTTTGTGGCTCAAACTTTAAGTCTGAACAAGTTTTTCTATATTTGCATCAGCAATAAAATCTAATAGACGGTTTTTCCAAAAAGCAAGTGTAATTGCAATAATAATCTGCCACTGCGGGCCAAGTCCAATTCGCTTGGCTCATTCATTTGCAATCAGTTGCCGAGAAAGAAACTCAAAACTTTTGACAGGCAAATTAATGCAACTCGAATTGAGAGCGGCTACAATTACAGCGTACAATTAAAACGACACAACCTGAGAAACAGAAAGTGGGACACGGATCGAAAATCCCCGCTTAAATTTATACGGAAAATGGCCAAGGAAAATATGTAGAGATGTTGGCCATATACCCACTCGTCACAAAGTGCGGATGCCCCTCTCACGGTTGTTTGTATTTCGGGATTCGGATACAACTTGATTACTAGAGTGATTACATAAACTGAACTTTGGTGATCCGGTTTCCCTGATAGACCTGGCCGATGGATTGCGGACATAACGGAGGGAGTTTTTCGGCCCAGTTAACGGGAGTTCGAGTGAAATTCGCGTCTAAAAGGAAACCGGTTGATTGGATCATCCCTATCATTGATTTACAAGGTTAAAGCCAAATTGAGCGATTCACATTTGGTAACTGCGTACAGTTACTCGTCTTGGTCTTCAAGCGGGGAAGGTAACAGGTAGCTCAGTTTTTCACCTCCTCTTGGCCAGTTTTTGAGTGGTCTGAGCAACAGGTAGTCCCTAACAGGTTTTGGTTCGGGGGTTTTCTTTTCGATTTGGGAAAATTGCTCAATGTACGCCGCCACTGCAGGATATACAAAGTAATTTTATTGCTCTATTAGTTGTTCACAGTTTTCAATTAGCAATTCCACAACCAGCCCATAATTTGCTAAATTTCAGCCAAAATATAATTGAATGTTTGCCCAAATGATTAACGCCGAGCGAATGTTGTGAAAACGAGAAGCTTCATGCTGATACTTGGCCCAAAGCATTGTGAATTCTGCTAAGTGCTCGGGCAAGCTAATTATAGCTAAATAGTTAATGGGAGGAAATGGAAAGGGAGGAGGGGAAGCGAAGGTATCATCTTGAAAGGAAAAGTGCTTAACCCCGTCCCTTTACTACAAAAGCTCTCAGCTGGTTTCGGTTCGGAAATGCCGTTACACACTGCCACCCGTACCCATATGAGTTGTACATAAGATATGCGATCAGCCTTGCACTTTCTTTTTCTTTCGCCGCTCTTTCTCTTTGTGTCTTCCCCGCTACTTCTTCTCAGAGAGTTGGTTACCGATTTTTTGTCGTTTGGCATTTGAGAGTTTTCAGTGTGTTTCTCTGTGTCAATTGGTTGATTCATTAACTCGCAGTTGATGGCCGGAAAAACTCTGTCATAATTAACTAATTTCTAGGAAAGTAAAACCACCAAGCTACTAAAAGTGAACGAGAAAGTGTCAGTTTTCTATGCCCAATTAATTTTAATAGAGCAATGTTTTAAGTAATTACAGGCGTATTCTAACATTGCTGTTGCTTAAATGTTCTTTAAAGGTAGCCTACAGCCTAAACAACATTATGTAAAGGCTGTATTTTTGATCATTTTTAAGATGAAATAGTGGAAAAAACAGTATGATTGAGATATGTAATCAGATACATACATACATACAAATTCCTTATACCAGAACATTGATCGTCGGAATTGTTTGACCATAAGCTCTTGACTAAATCTTGATGCACTTAATTTCCTTCTTATCGCTTTTAAAGTTGCTGTTAATGAATGAAATCAGATTAAGGTACTTTGGGGCTCCACTGACCTACAGATCTGCGACTAAACAAAGAGCCGATAAATCCGAAATCAAAACGTTTGCTTAACAGCTCGCCAGGTAAATGGTTAATTAATGCAAAGCAAAGAAATCAAAAAGCTGAATTCAAATTGAAAGCGGCCATCTAGTCTCAGTGTGTGTGACCGTGTGTTTAAGCCAAGAGTTTTGTGTGTCAGTGTGACCCAGTTCCAGGCTGAACGCATGCCGCTGGAATCGCTCCCGACCCGTCCCGCCTTGTCCAGTTCGGGCAATCCATTCGGTTAGCCACTCAACCAAGAGGCGCAGAAAAAGTAGAAAGTGAATTTTATCTCCGCTTCTTGCTGAAGGCAGAACCTGGTATGCCCCACCAGCCCGAGCTCTTCCATACCGCACCTCCATAAAAAACAGTCAAAAACTTTTAAGGCTTTCAATGTTAAATATTTAGCCCCGAAGTAAACTAATTAAAATTCATTGCAAACCATTGTCTGGCAACCAATTTCAATTGTGAGCGACCTTTTTTCAGCTGACAATTTGTGGCCAAAAATCAGGCACACATATGTACACACTTAAAGGTAAAACTATACCGGATTAATCCGAGTTCACACAATAATTATAAATATTTTTGGCTGAACGTCACTCTCACGCGGTAAGGTCATCAATCGCTCATGCGTTCTACTTCAATGGCTTGACCTAAATTTACCTATTGCAAAACCCACGGACATGTTGATAATAAGAAGAAATCGTTTTGAAACCGAATTCCTATTAGCAAAATATATTTAAATATTAATTAATAATAATTTGGTAATTTCTCGGCATTTATGCTTTGTGCCACCGCAACGGACAAAAGTGAAAGTTGTTGACTTGGCCAGAAAGAAAAACTCACCAAAAGCATGCGTTTTGCTTGCAATCAATTTTTGCGCTGCTCGTTTTTCGACTCCCTCTCCTTCTTCCTCTTCTGCCTGTAAATATGCATTATATAAATTGTTTAAGCCAAGCTACGTTGGCCACAACAAACATCTAAACGGGGCTGGACAAAACCGGGAGTTATGTAAGCCGGCCAAGCAAACTGTGATTAAAAAGGTGATGAAAATGAGTCAGTGAACTGGCCAGAAATCGCAGTTTAGATGGCTGAGAACGATTTAGAAATAGGGATTAAAAAGAATATCTAGTGAATAGATTAGCCGAGACTTGGAGAAGGAAAGAAACTGAAAATTAAAAGACCAGGAGTTATACTTTTACTTGACCTGGATATGGATACCGATTTTCTATGCGACAAAAATTCTTTTAGATAGCCATCAGTATTAGAAAAGCAAAAAGTAAATGAACAATAGGGCAGCCAGAAAAGCAAATAATAAAACGTCAAATGCTTCAACATAGATAGTAAAAACAACAAAATAAAAGACTGAAGAGGCAAACTCATTTTGGTCATCAACTTTCTCGGGCCAAAAACGTAAAAGCTTTTGAAACGCATTCCAATCCCAGGCTAAACATTCGCAGTTACTTGAGTATTAATAAAAACACAATATGCATATGGGTTGGCAAAAGCAAAGAATCCGCCTTTTATTAACCATTTATGACCTAGAAATTATGCATAGCCCGAAGCCAACAAAAACTCTTCTCTTAGATGGCACAGGTTGACAGGTTTCTAGGAGGCAAGTGGTTGGCACCAATCGGATTTCTTGGCACGCAGTTTCAGGTTGCTCAAGGCACCAACATAAGCTCTGACTCAGCCTGCGATCAAATATTGAATTTTTTGATTTCAGCTTCGCTTCCAGTTTAATAAGGTGACACAAAAAATTGCTTTAGTCATAGCAACTAGTGGGGATAAAGCATGATATTGCATATTGTTCAGATGTAATTTTTGGGTACATTTAATATCATTCACGAAAGCACAACTGACTTCAAAAAGCTGGTAAGAGAGGGGAGCCCGTATGATTGTGAAAACTGAAAAGTTGATGAGTCGGCTTCGGGAGACCCAGGTGCCACCGGACTTGCGACATGCATTTGTAAAGTTCATTAAGGGATTTTTAACCTAATCTGAAGCGGTTTGTTATGCGAGCTTACCCATATTGTACAATATTTTTAACCTTTGCATAACGGATTTGGAGTTAGATGGACCATTTGTTAAAGAAGCTGAATGAAATAGGAGGAACTTTCCAGAAATTTACTAACCCACGTTTCCGACCCATTTCAAACTAATTATCAAATCCAATAACCGTTTTCTTAAGTACTTTAACGCAAATATTGATGCACTAACATCTGCGAAGCATTGGAAAATGTAAGCAGCCTAGAGATAGGGTGACCGCGTTGTTTTTTTAAAAATAATTTTGACATAATGAACCGTTATGTCAACGGAGGGTCGAGCACCTGAAGTCGGCGTTGGAGTCAAAGTTGGACCCGAAGTCAGAGGTATAACCTTGAGTCGGCTCCGTGACTCAATTTGGCGAGCCGAGTGGTCGACTTAAGAGCAGGCTAGGTTGCTCGGCTTGGACATGTTGTAATCGCTGTATTTACTTTATGAAAAGCAAAACCAGATTGTTACAATTTGGTAAAAGTGCAGCGTCAGTTGTCGTTGAACCCCAGCATAAAAAAAAAAATGGAAAGTAAGCTTGTGTAAACTTACGTGGCTTGGCTGCACGACAAATTGAATTTTTCGGTCTGTCGCTTAGCATGCAACAAGTTAAGGGAATTATGATTTGATTTCATGCAGTTCAAGATCATCAGATGATGCAGCTTTTGCTGTCATATTCTTGATGTTCAGTGTATAAATGGTCTTCCTTATGTATTTTTGTCATTCATGGTTTATGGCAATGACATTTGAGCATGTGCTAAATGTGCCAAAGCTAAAGTTCTTTTTTGTTAGGTACGATAATTTGTAAATCCCATTATTAATGCCTATGGTTCGAATTTGGCGTGTGACACTCTGTGTTTGGCATGATAAATGGCAAAAATAATTGCGCAGCTTGAGTTTCACTTAATAACACATTTTTTCCCATAGCGCTCAATGTTTTTGGTAATGAGAATTGCTTGGCAAAGAGTAAATAAAAAAGTATAACATTGAATTTTAAAATCATTTAGATATCAACAATAAAATACATTTGATACAAAAAACAGAAATGGGATAAAAATAGTAAATCTGCGCCCCCGGGTGGACTCGAACCACCAACCTTTCGGTTAACAGCCGAACGCGCTAACCAATTGCGCCACGGAGGCAGTTGTTGTAGTCTTGGCGCATGTCACACTAGATTTGACTCCACTCGTTATATTGCTGCTATTGGGCTCCCGTTAAATTAAGCAGCTAAGCGCTTATTAGACATTATTTATGTCCTTATTCGATTTTGTCTCGGTTTTAGTACGAGCTGTGAAATTTCGTACATTTTTCGGTGCTGCCATGGCCTCCGTGGCGCAATTGGTTAGCGCGTTCGGCTGTTAACCGAAAGGTTGGTGGTTCGAGTCCACCCGGGGGCGAGTGCACCTTTTTGCTCCGATTTAGTTGTAATTTTTTTTAAACATCTAATTGTGGCGTAATTTTATTGCTGTGTACTTGAGTTCTTTAAGCGTGTTAATGAACATTATTAGGGGTTTCCTTGTTAATGTGTTTTTTGTATTTTTGCTTTGTTGTCTAGTGAGATTGAGATGAACAAGGGCATTTGTTGAGATTCGTTTAGGCAAACAGCAGCAAAGTGAGGCAAGAATAAACAATGCGTGTCTAAAGTTTAAGTTGAAGGTGTCGATGGACAAAGCAAAATAGACACGATAACGAGCAAGCTGTACACATAGCAATACTATACACACCAATACTAATATATCGTATATAATACCAACTTCCATTTTGCCTTTGCCATTTGTCTTTTTACCTTCACTAGACAAATCGCATTAGGGTTTGGCAAGCACGTAATTTGAAAATTTAAAAAGATATTGGATAATGCGACTAGTATAATATTTTGAAATTCTAGACTAATCGTTTGATCTCTTAATCTTTACAGATGACGTGCGGCATTTCGTGTGTCGATAAGACATTAAACAAATCCTTTTATCACCTGGGAGTCTGCATAGCCAAGCATCCTGGCTATTTTATTATTATTCCGGTGCTGCTGACGATGCTCTGCATGACAGGGTAAGTGCACCGATGTCAGAGATCGAGCGCACTGACTAAGCTTCAATCGAAATTTTCCAGCTATCAGCAGCTAAAGTATCAAATCGATCCCGAGTATCTATTCTCGCCGATTGCGGGGGAGGGAAAGACTGAGCGTGCCATCGTTGAGCAATACTTCAAAGTGAATTATACGCATCGGTTCAACGTCGGACGGATTACAAGACCCGGTAAGTGGCGGCAAATATGTTCACTTAGTAACTACTATGCCAAGCATTCGTTAAGTAAAATTGACTAGGACTGGCGTCGCACAATGAAATGTTTCCACACTTCTTACACCTTGCCAAATGCGACTTTCTGCCAGCTTTTCCAGCCTAATAATATGTTTCCGTTAGTCTCCACCCAGCGTTGGCTTTTGGCTTAAATGTGCAATAAATAATTTCAGCACACGGCAGAGATGTAGACATAATATCTTAGCTTTTATTGAGGTCTTGAACTCGTCTCCGTTTTACAGGCTATTAACTTCGCTAAATGGTTTATTGGGCAAAAACAACCACCACCACAAGCGCTAAATATAATAATAGTAACAGCAGAAACATTAGCTATAATTGCAGCTACAACAATGTCAAAAGCTGACTTCAACAGAGTGCCGCATAATTGCCAAATGGCAAAGACTCTTCAAATCTTGAACAATCGTATATTTTCAAGTACCTACAATTTGCTTACTAACCAATTTCAAATTTCAAAGACATTATTCTGTTATAAAACAAAATTATATTGCTATCTGCATGTGTAATTAACGATTTTAAGAGCAAAGCTTTTTTATTTTACTCACTCAGTAATGCATTTTTGTGTTTGACGTGGGCCATACCCAATTGGAAGTCTAGATGTGTGATGAATGTTCGCACAAACTTAATTTTTATCAACGCGAAATTGCGGGGTTAGCAACTAGGTGCAGTACTTTGCTTACCTAACCCTAAACATTTGCATAATTTGGGCTTTGTTTTTCCAGTCGTTTGGCCGGACTTAATTGTCTGTTGCAAAAAATAAAGCAATTCGGACCTCGCTAAGCCTAAAGATGGGAGGAACGTGTGCTCTAAGCTAAATGAGTGGCGATCAAATAAAGCTTGTTTAAGCCTCATAACAAGTCTTGGATGTTTTCTACTCCAAAAGAGCACTTGCAATTGTTCTTTCGAAATCATTAGCCCCATTCTGCGAAAATGTACTCGATGTGCACTGAGCAGTTTTCGCATCGAGATGCATGCAGATCAGTGAATCTGACCGAAATGAGGAGAACTCTCAAATCTAAGACGCGAGCTCCGACTTCGTCTCATCATTGAACTTTGTTTGGACACTCGTCTGGCAATAGTAAGCCAAGATATAAAAAACCCGTCGAGTGTGTGGAGGCCACAAGCCACAAGCGATCCGTGCAAATACACATCCACGCGATCGCTGTTGGTGCTCAACGGTATTATCTAGACCGCATTTAGTCGGTTACAACCAGTTAGCCACCGAGCTCAGTGCTCAGCTTCGGTTGTACTTTGGCCAAATGTGCCACAAGAGGTGTGCAAGCTGCAACTTTCCCCAGTGTTTTGAAAATTTGTTTATGTAGCGCAACAGAGCAAAAATCCAAGACAAAATTAAATTACGCGCTTTATTACCCCGCGAAATGATACTTTTATAAAAGCTGATGTACCCGATAAATATTTTAAAGTCAAACGTTGGATCATTTAGTATAGCCATTAGTTGATCCTCGATGTCGGAAGGTAAGGATATCTATTTTTATTTTGATACCTCAAGTCATTTGATGAGTTGTAAAGACTTCTGGTTTATCCGGGCCGGAATCAATGGAGGTTGTCTTTTTTCAATATTGAATATAATTCATAACAAAATATGCCTGCACAACGTGAAGGGTTTGTTGATGGCATTTTATATTTGTTCAAATTCAAGTTCATTCACAAATAACATAGGTGTTAGACGTCGAAGCTTTGAATACTCTATAACTGTATAGCTTGAATTGATGGAATTATCAGGAATTTCATCTGAATGGGCCTTAATAAATTACACTTAAATTTAAAATAGTCTGTGCTAAATTGATTTTACATCCGATGTACAGTAAACAAGTTCAATATCATTGTCATGGTACAGTCCTGTGCTTTTATTAATTTGGTCTCATTGTACGAGAAGCATGGCACGCACGCTTTCCATTTCTTTAACGTAGTATAGTTTAATATAACCAATATTAATTTCGCATCAATACTGTGACGCAAGTACGCGAAGCTGCATTTGTTATGGCGCATTAAATACATATAGCGATTGGGACAATCGGCCAATATTAAGTGGAAGTCCGATAAACTGGCAAGCAGAAACACAAGTGAAACAATCGAAACATTGGCTTCCAATAAAAATAAATTAAAATTATTGTCACGTAATGGCGTGTGGGCAACAGCAACAGCCGCCGCCACATTAGCCTTCAAGCCTAAGTCCACAAAGTCACTAATTGTTTGCCAACTATTTTTTGACCTTGTTCTTTTTGACTAATCCGAGATATACTGATTTTGTAGGTCGCTTCGGGAGAGTCATTGTGATAACGAAAGATGGCGACGAAAATATGATTAGACGAGAGGTGTTCCAGGAGTTACGACAGCTGGACAACCTTATCCAAAATGCGACCACCACTTACGATGGGGATACGTATTCCTACAAGGACAACTGTGCCCGCTGGGAGAACGAGTGCTTCGAGAACGATATTCTTAACCTTGATGCGCTGATGGATGATGTGAGTAAAGGGGCAATAATCGATGTATAGTCCATACATAAGTAATTTTTCACAAAATTCGGATAAGCATTTATACTAGGAAAAGAAGTATACTTTGGAATTGATTTGCATCCATCCTAAAGATCTAACCATAATTTTTAAATCTCTGATTTTAGATCGAAACGGGCCAGTTGAATCTTACATTCCCTTTCATGTTTAATCCAGTGACGTGGGATGCACACCTGTTCCCTGTCTTCTTTGGGGGCACCAAGCTGACAGAAGACAATCATGTGATCAGTGTTCCGGCCATACAGTTGGTCTATTTCGTGACCGCAGACACTAAACGGCAGGATGCTAAGTAAGTGCCGAACTTGGCTGATAATTTAGACCAAATCATAAATTGCCTTTGTAGGGGAGCCGAGTGGGAGGAGACCTTCCTAAGGGTGGTAGGCAACGCAGAGGACTCCGGCCGCTTCAAACACATATCGGTCTCGTACTTCGCCTCCCGAACTTTGGACCACGAGCTAGAGAAGAACACGAAGACTGTGGTGCCCTATTTTAGTTCAACTTTTTTGCTCATGGGTCTTTTTAGGTACGTTTGATAAGTTACGGTTTGAACTTTTTTAACGATTTAATTTTTGTTTATTCAGTATCATCACCTGCATGATGGGAGATGCAGTCCGCTCCAAGCCGTTCTTGGGACTTATGGGCAATGTTTCGGCCATTATGGCCACCCTGGCAGCTTTTGGCTTGGCAATGTACTGCGGCATTGAGTTTATTGGCATCAACCTGGCTGCACCATTCCTGATGATCGGTATATTTGGCAGAAAATAATAAGTCCTTATGTAAATGTCTTCACTGTTCAAAAATGTATTCCACAGGCATCGGCATCGATGACACTTTTGTAATGCTGGCGGGCTGGCGCCGCACCAAGGCGAAAATGCCAGTGCAAGAGCGCATGGGTCTAATGATGTCCGAGGCGGCTGTATCGATTACGATAACATCGGTCACCGACTTCATTTCGTTCCTGATCGGCATCATCAGTCCGTTCCGATCAGTAAGGATCTTCTGCACGTACTCCGTGTTCGCCGTTTGCTTCACGTTCCTGTGGCACATTACTTTCTTCGCCGCCTGCATGGCTATCTCGGGCTACAGAGAGCGCAAGAATTTGCATTCCATTTTTGGCTGCCGGGTCCAGCCAATGTCGGTTGCAATTAAAGGTGAGTGGGACTAGCATTGTACCTTTTGCTGTTCTGCAAGCGTGGATTTTATGATTAAGCTTTGGAATCATGAGTACACAAAGATATCCTTTCATTTAAAACGACTTCTTTGCAAGTGTCCGTTTAAATTATTTGAAATCATTTAATTTTCAAATAATCAGTCTAAACAATATTTTTTAAGCTATTTTTTGAGTGTATATGCTGTAAGGTCTAGTTAAGCTAAATGAAATGTGTGCAGCGCCACAACCGGATTGAAGTAGTCAGAGTTTAGATGGCTTAATACCAGCAGCTGCAACATAACCTTGATCATGAGACAAAAACAACTAGACTAGTCTATGTCTAAGCTCAGCAAGTTCTGACTACAATTGAGGCCAATGGGAACTTGTCTCACCACACTTCTTTCTATTATTTTACTTGGCCCGCAGAGAAGCGCAACTTTCTCTACAAGGCAATCATGGCGGGTGGTATCGACCACAACGATCCGGACAACCCTATCGACAACAAGGACCACATGCTGATGGCGTTCTTTAAGGACAAGCTGGCCGCAGTTATCAACAATAAGTGGTGCAAGGTGATCATCATCTTGGCCTTTGCAAGTTATCTGGTTGGTGCCTGTTACGGAATAACCCAAATAAAGGAGGGCCTTGAAAGACGAAAGCTCTCCAGGGAGGATTCCTATTCCGTGGAGTTCTTTGATCGCGAAGACGACTACTACCGCGAATTTCCATACAGAATGCAGGTTGGTTTTCGAACAATTAAAAAAATATTAATTTTATATTAAATAAATTTTTTTTAAATTCGCAGGTTATAATTGCTGGCCAGTTGAATTACTCGGACCCCCTAGTTCAGGAGCAGGTGGAGAACCTGACCAGTACCTTGGAGCATACATCGTACGTGACCTCTAGGCGCTACACGGAGTCCTGGCTACGGTCATTCCTTTCTTTTCTGGAACGCAACAATGAGCTTAACGTGACGGTGGACGACGAGCAGTCTTTCATTGATGCCGTAAAAGAGCACTGGCTGTTCCCTGGTAACCCATTCTCACTGGATGTGCGCTTCAATGACGACGAGTCGCAAATCATTGCCTCAAGGTTCCTCATCCAGGCGGTCAATATTACTGATACCAACCATGAAAAGGAGATGGTGCGGGATCTGCGCAAGATCTGTAAAGACTCGCCACTGAATGCCTCGATCTTCCATCCCTATTTCGTGTTTTTTGATCAGTTTGAGCTGGTGCGACCGGTTTCTCTACAGGCAATGGTGATCGGAGCCATCATAATGATGATTATCTCCTTCGTATTTATCCCAAATATCCTGTGCTCCTTGTGGGTGGCCTTTTCGGTCATCTCCATTGAACTGGGCGTTGCAGGATATATGGCCTTGTGGGACGTTAACCTGGACTCTATTTCAATGATTAACCTTATTATGTGCATTGGCTTCTCTGTGGATTTCACCGCTCACATCTGCTACACATACATGTCCTCCAAGAAGCGCAGCCCCAAGGCTAGGGTACGCGAGGCCCTTCACTCCCTCGGGCTGCCAATCATTCAGGGCTCGAGCTCAACCATACTGGGCATTGTGGCCCTATTGCTGGCCCAGAGCTACATCTTCTTGGTCTTCTTCAAGATGGTATTCCTGGTGATATTCTTTGGGGCCATGCACGGCCTTTTCCTGCTGCCCGTTCTGCTGTCTCTCTTTGGACCCGGATCCTGTCTCACCTGGACTGGAAAGGATGACGGCAGCGACGCAGAAGTCGATGACAGCTTGGAGGACCGCCAGTTAGAGAAGCCTTTCTCTCAGTCCTACTACATGCAATACCCCACCATGGGCATCAACGGCCCCTACGGCTCTAAGGGCTTCCTGGGAGCACCGTACAAAGCCTACGGAGTAGACGAGAAGGATCTAGGACTCGGCACATCTGGCGAGGATTCATCGGAGAGCAGCTCGAGTCGATCGCAGCGCGGTCAGCAGCAGGTTGCCATCACAGAGGAAGAGGTGGTGATCCGGGAATCTCCACGCCAAAGATACGAGGACAGGTGGCGTCGCTCCTCCTACCAGAACATTTATGGACAAGGTGCTGCGCAGTTCCAGGCCGAGCCCGATCTTTATGGCCAACAGGTTTCAGCAGAAGAGTGGCGCCAGCGTCTGGATACCCACGAACAGCAGCAGCGCCAGCGACAGCGGAGAGGTCCTTACGAGAACTACCACCAGAACACGGAGATGGACATGCAGAGGGTGCGGCGTAACTCGCATGACGACGTCATCGACCTGCACGCAACGCCCAACTCCTCCTTGGACGAACGACTGCGAAGGCAGTCTGAAGTGCCCTTCAGTGGAGGCAGTGGTGACGACAGCAACTTCCGTCATCAGCAACCGATGCCTCCAACCGCTGGATCTGTGCCTCCAGGCAAGCGGTACCACCGACGGCGATCCTCAGAAGACTCGACCAGTCGCTATCAGCGCTGGCCGGCAAATATTGAGGAGAGAAGAGCACGACGCGCTCACTCGCCTGCCCACAACCGCCCAGAGACTGCCACGCCCAGCTATGCGTATCGCTCCTCCTCGCACCACAATCTCTACCAGCCTAATGGTAAGGGGTCGAAGCATCCGCCCACTTACCAGTATGGCGACTACTACTAGTGAGGGAAGGGTGTGAGAGATGCTCTCATAGAAATGTGACAGGAAAATTCCTAATATATATATAAAGAGAGTTGGATGGGTCGCCCTTTGAAAAATATTTATAAGAGTGGGAAGTAGTAATTGGACAATTGCAAGCACTTTCTAAAGCCGAGATATTAAGTAACCTAACACTCTATTGTTTCTTAAGTTTAATATATTATATTTCACACTTATTCATCATTTAATTTTATTTAACAAAATTGCTAACTGGAAATGTTAGGGAAATCGTAAACAAATTGTTTTACAACTCATAATGCCTCGGAATTGTCCATAAACTACTTTGAGAATGTTTTGGTCGTCAAGATTTTGACATCCATTGCTATCAACCCATCCATGTATAGAGAGACATAGGGGAAGCAGAGCAAATTGTCTTGTCAAACGATATTTAAGTTAGGCCTTTTTTTAAAGAAATCACAGCTTTTCTGTCTTTACATTTCCTAAGCTTGCCCTGCGTAGAATACATTATTCGGTAATTCACATTGGCCACAGGAATTCTTTTCAGTGTGAACATAAAATTGTTAGTTGATAAAGCCGATTCAATCTATTTATCCCAAGCATTTCATTAATACGAGCTCGAGTCAGACAACTTACCATCTACACATTACCATATATGCTACTTGGGTCCGACTTTGGGTTCCCCATATCAGCGTTTATTTAAATTAATTTAGATTTAGTCCGAGTGCGTGTACAAGTCTGTTCATTAATGTTTCGTATATCAAATGCAGCACTTAGTAAATATTTAAAAGCTATTACCTGATAAGAGTGGCCGCATCAAGGCCCATCCATATGCTTAGCTATCTAACGCTGAAAGGCATTTGGGACAAGTTTGTGAAGCGTTTACAATTTTTTCTATTTAATAAAAATTTTATATTTTCCTAGAAATAATGTGCGCGCAGTGTGGATAATGTTTCAATGTGGATTGGGTTTTTCTTAATGGCTTTTTGAGTTACTTTTAATGGGATATCTTATGGCCAAGTCCATATAAATGACTTTGTTTCTGAAGGAGTAATATTCAGAATGCTTTCCATATTGTTCATTATCTCTGGCTTGCCTTGGTGGGTAATAGCATCCAGTGATGGCAACATTTCGGAGTCTCTTCTGGTTCCAAGGTGCAGTCCGCTAATTCCGTGTGATCCGTATTTTTCAGTGGCGAGCTTTGTTGAGGTAAGTTGGCCTGCGTTTACAACTTCTGGTTATGAGACATTGGTTGTTTAAGGTAAACTGGCTGGAAGCTAACTATATATGCAACAGAGTGGGCGCCGTCCTAGCCACTGTCAGGAATAAGGAGCAGCATCAGCTAATGCTTCACTACGTTAATAAGAATGGTAAGATCTGAATGGTGGATCTGAGTATACTACCCTACTATACATCTCACCTTCGTTTAGAACGAATTTTTGGGAACAGTACCTTTTGGCTGGGTGCCACTAATTTGGTGGAGCACAGCTACAACTGGACCTGGCTGAGCACTGGCATTCCGGTGACTTACGCACAATGGTCCAAAAGGGAACCCAAATCCGATCGTACTGGTCAAGACGCCTGCCTTGTCCTAGGAATTGACAACTTGTGGCACAGTGATTCCTGCTTGAAAAAACGGCATTTCATTTGCGAAAATATTTGCTTTCTGAACTATACAACTTTAGACAAAAAAGTATATATCTAGAACTATATCTCAAGAAATTACAAGGTAGATATCATAAGAATACGTTCTAAAAAATAAAGCATTTTTATGAAAGCAAAATAAAAAAGATCATTAATGTTACATAGGCTTATGTTATTTGGCTTATATATGCGCTAATGAAATATAGAAGTCTTATTTTATCAGACGTTTACTATATTTAAACAAGAAGAAACGCTTAATGTTACTGTTTTACACAATTTTAGAGTATTTATTTTGTTAGTGGAAATGGATAAAGCGCCACCTTGTGTCAAAACAGCATGCTTACTATCTGATGATGACGTCACTGTCCATGTTATGCATTTTTATTTATAAATAGCGAAATAATGTTCTGATTTGAAAAATCTTTGCCAAATCGATAGATATTGACAAGACATATTTATAGAAGGTCAAACGAAGACAAACATTTTAATATTATGGACATCACAGTTTTCCGCGATTTGTGGGCGTTAGAGTGGGCTTGGCAGGGTGCTTGCACTGCGTATAGACCTCAAGAATCTTCATGCATAATCTCTGATTTGTATCTGTTAATTTTCATGATATCTCGGCGTTCATACGGACAGACGGACGGACCGAGGGACGGACGGGCGGACGGGCGGGCGGACAGACCTGGATTAATCGACTCCGCTATATATATAATATATATATAATTTTCAACAAATCTAATATACCCTATTACTCTACGAACTCCCAAAGTAAAATACACCGCTTAAAGGGGAGATTCACAAGTACGATTAAGTGTTATGCTACTTGTATGAATATATATATATTTTAGTATATCATTTTAAAAGTTTAACAAATGTAACTGAATTAGAAGAAATTATCCCGTCAAGAGAAATATTTTGAAAAAGAACAACAAATTTAATTTGAATACAATTTTTCTGTTGTTTTTACTTTAGAAAAGAACTTATTTATTACAATTTCACATTTCTTAATTAGTAACATAGTATATGGTTATGACAGACCTTCGAATACCTCTGGGCATTTACAAAAAACAAACGGCGCAAGTACTTGACGTCAGGAGCTCCAGCTTTTAAAGCTTTCCAAAGAGCTTTGCCTTCAGCAAACAAAAGTTGACCGATTTGCAACAAAAGCTTGGCGCTAATAAGAATTTAAAACTCATCCCATTTTTGCTTGCACATTTTTAGCTGATATTTTAATAAGCCAACAGCAAAAGATTCTGGAACCTAATTAGACATTCGAAGTTAATTAAGGTCGTCGTCAAACTGACAACGCTTCTCGCAAATAAAGTAGCGCTGCTCGTTGCAATCCTCGTTCACCCAGAGTCCGGTGATCCCGTTGATACCCAGGCAATGGCGGTCATCGTTGGAGTAGCCGGGCAATCCATTCTGGAAATTGCGATAGTTAAAGGCGCGACCCTTGCTAAACCACACCCAGTTGTTGTTGCTAGCCAGGTCAGTGCCGGAGGTCCAGAGCGGATCGACAAGCAGCTCCTGCTGGCTCCGGGCGTAGGTGAAGAGAAAGTTACGCAGGCTGCGTTGATCCTGCTCAGATGTGATGCTCACTAGCGTGTACCCATATGCGGCGCAGGTAACCTGTGCCTGAAACCAGTTCACTTTGGCAAAGGTGCCAATGGCGAACCTACCGTCGCCCAGACTGAAGGGGGAGAAGGCAGGGACCTCGACCTCATCGGAGGCCTCATTTCCAGGTGCCGGGGATGTTGGTAATGTCTGCAGTTCCGGCAAGGACCAGGCCAAACCGAAAAGGAAAGCGACCAGGAGCAGAATATGCATTTTGCTTTGTATGAACCAATCGAGGAAGAGAGCTCCCCTTATATAGCCAGAGTACTAATTGCCCCGGCCATTCATCAATGTCGCTTGATAATCAGCAAAATCTGGGTAAAACTAAGTACTTTCCCCAAATTGGTTTAGCGCGCTCCTTGCTGCTTGCCATAAATATCGCTCCCCAGTAAATCTCAATATTAAGCGCTGCGTAAATCCGCTTGCCATTTTATGTTAAGGTTTTGCGCTTGCTAATAATTTTATCCCACCCCAAAGCATTCGGTCCAATGGAAGTGCTGGAAATTTATCGAAAAAATGTAAAAAGCATATCTCATTTAACTCAGCTGTCAGCTGGGGGAATCGGAGGGAGAAAAAGAGACGTTATGACGGGTCAAGGATTGCCAATTGCCAAACGGAACCCCTTGTCCAACTTTTCCCCATTCAATCTAGATGCACATTTTCTTTTGGTGGCGCTCTATGTGTTTGTCTGTTAGCCAAGTGTTTACGAGTCTCGTTGGGATTGAACAGCAACGAAATGTGCCAACACAGATCGCTGGATTCTGCTACATTCCATTTTCCCCTCTTTTCGGCTAGGGGGAAAATGACATAGAATCAAAAATTGCTTCTGCATTGTGGTAAGTATGGCGTTCTGTAGGGCGTGTGCGTAATATGATTTCTGTGAACGGCGCCCCATTCGGAATTGTATTTGCATTTGTCAGTGTTGCATAATGAACCAAAGGTTTGCATGGCAAACAAGGGCATTCATTGTCAGGTGAAGAGAATGGTTATAGTTTTACTTTAAAAAGGTCTTACCGCAAAAAATGGCATTTTTAAATCGGGAGGTGCGCGCATCATGTTAATTTTGTACTTTACTTTACTTTACTTTCGACTTTCTTATAAACAAATCTGGTGGACATATTTGTTCATCAGTAATAGTGTAGGTCCTGTGGCGCAATGGATAACGCGTCTGACTATAGATTAGAAGAATCCAGGTAGGACTCCTGGCAGAAACGTTTTTCTTAAAATCATTTTTAATTATACCTGTTACTCGAAGGGTTACTAGATTCGTTGAAAACAAATAAAAGGAAGCGTTTCCGACGAAACCCAATAAAAAAGTGTATATATTCTAGATCAGTATCAATAGCGAAGTCGATTAAGCCATGTCTGTCTGTCCCGCCCGTCCGTCTCTCCCTATGAACGCAAGATATTTTGAACCTTAACATATACAAAGTAGAGATTAAGCATAAAGATTCTTGAGGTCCCTTCGCAGTGCAAGCATCCTGCCAAGCCCACTCTAACGCCCACAAATCACGAAAAACTAAAATCTTTGAAATCTCAGAAACTATTAAAGCTGGAAAGTTAAGATATTTAAGCATGTAAAATCTTGAGATGCTGGCGCATCTTATGGTGGTACCATTATCCACATATACCCACTGTTACGACCATCAAGTTTGAAAGACGGTTTTCACATTTTCTAGAAAAGCGGGTCGATTTTGTTGCGATTTAGTAGCAATTCGCATGCGCCGATACGGTCAACAATATTTTTTTGCTTAAATTCGTTTGGCACTGTAAAATATGCCGTATTTTCTCTTTATTTTGCTCCACGATTGCGACGCTATAACTCACGAACGACTTAAAAGAAAAGACAATCAATCAAACACGTCTTAGCGCGTGAAATTAGCTTTCCAAAAAGTTATAGTATGACCTCAACAAGAAACAAGAAACAAGAACTACGCGCTTTCAGCGTCAACTAGCGAAAATACCGCAAGACAACCTAACAACCTAATATTACAATGTGTGTCTTCGATTGACCTTTTATAACATATTTTAGTCAATATATACATATATCGATTTGTCAAAGATTTTTCAAATCTGAAAAATATTTCGCTATTTATGAAGAAATGTATAAAGGTTATCACTCCTCACATGGGCAGTGACGTCACAATCAGTTACTCAAACTCCTTTCTCTGGCGCTTTGTCAATTTCCACTAGCAAAATGAATATTTTCAAATTGTGTAAAACAGTGACGGGAATCTTATAGTCGCGGCTTTCGACTATAGCTTTTCTTATTGTTTTATTTAAATATGTGCCAGAGAGTGGTATTATTTTTGATTATCCGAATTAGAGATAATGCATACACCAAAAGGTCTTTTAAATATTTGTTATTTGTTTGTAAATCAAGACGGTAAGTAGTATTACTCGTAAATATCCACACCGATTCTGTTTACATCGCAGCATGACAAGTACAAGTAAATAACAAACTGGGTGTTACGAATCTGAAAGCTAAACATGTCTGAGAAATAGTTGTCTCTTCAAAAACTAGAACGCATCTCCCTCCACCAATTGACACAGTGTCTACTAAATTGTTATTTTGAACTGTTTTTAGAATTAAAGAATTTTATTATATTTGGGATTTATTAAATCGAAAACTTGAAGAAAAATAATGCCGCCCAACGTTGAGCTCGAACCCCCTACGGCTGAGCTGGCCGTGACCAATTTTGACAATTACATACTCAACATAACAACACTTGCGATCTATATACGGACCAATAACTTATTGTTAAAAAATTTATATGTAGTTTTTTTTTTTATTTTATAGACTAATACATTTAATTATAAAAGTTTCAAATGTCACTAATATTAATGCCCATATTCATCTTTGCTGCAAATTGAGATGTTCTTGGCTGTGCCATGTTTAATGCGCAATTAAATTGTAAGACTTGATGACAAGATGACATGATCTATTAGCTTAAGTTATTTGTCTTTGGTCGGTTGAAAGGAAAAATGGCAATTAAATTGGATGGCTAGTGCTACTAAGGTGCGGTTGCAACAAAGGACGACGACTAGATGGAATGAACCCCACTGACAACGGAAAGTCACGCAGGATAAATGCACCAAATGCTCCTCGCCCACTGAGTGTCCCATCCCGTGCATCTCCTCCTTCAACTTGATTTATGTTTCGAGCAGGGGAGAAAGCGAGGGGATGAGCTTGGCTTTCATCTATTGTGCATTTTCGCAGCACGTAAAACGAAGGTCGTCAAACGTAAGTATTTTTTCTAAACATAATATGAATCAAAGGAAGCCCAACTTGCATATCTCAAAAGTCCTAGAATAGCAGGAAATCAGTATAAGGATTATTTTATTAGGATTGAAGAGGCATGATTATAACTAGCCTTAATAAGTTTAATGTATACATACTAAACACTAAAAAGACTAATGTTTATAATAGCTTCTCATAATAGAAGAATTAAATTAAATTAAATTCAAATTAACAAATTTATGTTTAAATTAATAGTAAAAAACTCATTTATTGAATTGCAGGGACCAATTTGTGCCGCACAGAATCGATTGAGCAATGTTCGTCGTCTGTCTGTCTGTCCGACTGTCCGTCTGTCCATCTGTCCGTATGAACGCTGAGAGTTCATAGTTGAGTTGAGATTAAGCATGAAGTACTATCTGTTTCCCTGCCACCATTGTTTCAGCCAAAGGAAAAAGGCCCCTGGACCAAAAATGATAATCGAACTTCAAAACTCTGCCATTGAGGTTATTTGTAAGCTCTTCAATGGGATCATGGCACTCGGCTACTATTCAAAAAAATAAAAAAAAACTATTGTCATTATGATACCAAAGCCCATACAATTTCGTCATCCTACAGACCAATCCTTCTATTATCGAGTCTGTCTCAGTTTTTCGGAAAATGTCTTCTAACTCTCATAATACCATATGTAGAAGCACACAATGTTATCCCTGCTCATTAATTTGGCTTCCGTCAAAACCATGGAACAATTGAACAAGTAAACAGAATAACATCAGAAATTCGCACAGCCTTTGAGCATAGGGAATAGTGCAGCGCACTATTCCTTGATGTGTGTCAAGCCTTTGATCGAGTATGGCTAGATGGTCTCATGCACAAAATTAAAACACACTTGCCTGGATACACTCATAAGCTTCTTGAGTGTTATCTATACAACAGAACCTTCGCAGTAAGGTGCAACACAGCTACATCCGGCGACTACATTATTATAGCTGGAGTCCCGCAAGGAAGAGCGATGGGGCTTACTCTGTTCCTCCTATACACATCGGATATTCCCACGAATGAGCAGCTAACAACATCTACTTTCGCTGACGACACCGCAATTTTAAGTCGCTCGGATTGCCAAATCTCCTTCTCGTAGTAGAGAGGTGGCTATCTGATTGGCGGATTAAAATAAATTAACAAAAATGTAAACACATAACGTTTACCATCAACAGACAAACTTGCCCTCCACTATCATTGAATAATACGCAGATTTCCCCAAGTTAACGATGTAACGTATCTCGGCGTCCACCTTGACAGACAAAAAACCCTGGAGGAGACACATCCAATGCAAGAATGAACGTCTAAAACTAAAAACCAACAGACTCCACTGGATTTCTTAACGCCCGTTCGCCCCTGCGTCTGGACTACAAGGTCTTGCTCTACAACTCTACCCCCAAGCCCATCTGGACATATGGCTCCCAGCTAAGGGGGAACGCCAGAAGAACAAACATAGACATTATACAGAGCGTTCAATCAAAAACCCTCCGATTTATCACTGGGCCACCATGGTATATTCGCAACCAAAACATCCACAGGGACCTAGGCATTCTTACCGTAAAAGATGAAATAGACAAACAAAAAGGGCCCTACAATAAAAAACTCCCTGAGCACCCCAATCGCCTCGCAAGAAGCTTGACTTGGGTTCTCAACCGATCCCGTCTACAACGCAACGACCTGACAAGCCAGCAATAACTTACTTAACTTTAGTCTCCAAAGGGAGAAGATTCAAAAAGCATGAAGATTCTTGAGGTCCATACGCAGCGAAGTTTATTAACGCATCCTGCCACGCCCAAAAAGTTCGGATTAAGCATGTAGGTTTTAATGATGCTCCCAATGCGAATTGCCACGCCCACCCTAACACCCTCAAAACCCGAAAAACCAAAAATGCGAAAATTTCGGGAACTATAAGAGCTAGAAAGTTGTGCTTAAAAATACGTATTGAAGAGATGCCAC